TTCTCTTACATTTTAATAACTACTATAATTTCATTGAAAACATTTATCACCACCGACTCCAGACTTCGGCGAATGAATTCCCGCAGTCGATGACTCCGTAGATAAAAATGCCACATCATTTATGAACAAAACCCAAACTTACAAAAAACCATATATAAAAACCTATCTAATGAAACTTAAACAACGAATATTAACTTAACTAAGGTTATTTTCATATTGATAAATCGTTTAATACAAATATAAATACTATAAATATAGATTATATCAAGTTTTGACATACGATATAAAAACATGAAATTTTCCATTTCATTATTAATTGGTTTCATTAGAAGAATCCACTAAACCAACAATCGAAAAAAATACACGCAAACATAATGATTTCGGCCCCGCGCTTGCGCGGAGAATATGCAACTAGTGTAAATAACAATTGAACCCTTCGTACAAAATTTGGAATTCTTCAACAAAAAATTTCAACCTTTCGATAACAATTATAAACCTTTCAAAAATAATTCAGAATCCTTTAAAAAAATTCTAAAACCTTCAAAACTTTTTTTGGAATCTTAAGAAAAAAATTGTGAATCATTCAGAAAAACTTATAAACACTTCAGAAAAAAATTTGAACCCTTCAGAAACAATTTGAGACCTTTCAAAAACAATTTAGGATTCTTCAGAAAAAAATTTTAAACCCTCGAAAAGAAATTTTGAACTTTTCAAAAAATATTTTAAAGTTTTCAAAAACAATTCTGAACACTCGAGAAACAATTATGGATTCTTCAAAAAAAATTCTAAACCGTTCAAAAAATATTATGAACCTCTAATAAAAAATTATGAACCCTTCAAAAAATTATGAACCATTCACAAACAATTCTGAACCCAGTAAAAAAATTCTAAGTCATTCTTAAAAAAATTTGGAGCCTTCAGAAACAATTTATACCTTTCAGAAACAATTTTGGACCCTTCTGAAAAAAATCAGAATCTTTCACAAAAATAGAGAACCTTTCACAAAAAATTATGGAGCTTTCAGAAACAATTTTGGACCCTTCAAAAAAATTTGGAGCCTTCACAAACAATTATGGACCTTTCAGAAAAAATTTGAATCTTTCAAACAAAATTTTGAACCCTTCAGAAACAGTTATGAACTCTTTGGAAACAAATTTAAACCCTTCATAAACAATTCGGAACCTTTCAGTAATAATTCTAAACCTTATAGAAAAAAAATTGAAACCTTCAGAAAAAATTCATAACTCTTCAGAAAAAATTTTGGAGTCTTCGGAAAAAATTTTGGATCCTTCAGAAAAATTATGATTCCTTAGAGAAAATTCTAATTCCTTCAGAAAATTTTTTGAATCCTCCAGAAAAATTTTAACCCTTCAGAAACAATTCTAAACCCATCAAAAAAAAAATTGAACCATTCAGAAACAAGTAGTAACCCTTAGAAAATAATTCTGAATCCTTCAGATTCAATTCGAGACCATTCAGAAAAAAAAATTGAATCCTTTAGAAAAAAAATTGAACCCTTCAGAAACAATTCTGGACCATTCAGAAAAAATTCTGGACTCTTCAAAAAAAAAATTTAATCCTTCAGAAACTTTTTTTTAATCTTTCATAAACAATTAGGAATCCTTGAGAAAAAACTTATGAACCCTTTAGAAACAATTTGAACTCTTCAAAAACAATTCTGGAAATTTTAGAAAATATTTTTAAGCCTTCAGAAACCAATTATGAACCCTTTCAAAAAACGTTTATGAATCCTTGAGAAAATGTTTTTGAATCCATCAGAAAATATTTTAAGCCCTTCAAAAAATAATTTCAAACCCTCCAAAATGATTGGTCATAATTATAAATATAATTTTTTAAAAATATGTGATGACCATAGTTTAAAATATAAGAATTAGTATATAAAACCAACATATTATAATACAAGATAACAGAGAAATCAAGAAAAGTTTCTGAAACCCTTCAGAAAATATTATATTTTGAATTCTTCGGAAAAAATATTCTAAACCCTTGTGAAATCAATTCTAAATCCTTTAAAAAATCTTTTTTGAGCCGTTTAGAAATAAACTATGAACCCTTCCGGATATTTTGAAGAAAAATATTATAAATTCTTTAGAAATCAATTCTTGGAAGTTTTAATTTTTTTTTCTTAATTTTTTTTCTTTTAGTTGTTTTAGTAGTTTTCGTTTATTTTCTTTTGACTATTATCCATTTAGAAATTATAATATGAAATCATTGATTCGATATCAAGACTATCTAAAATTCATGTAACATGAAATTAAACAAATAAAATTAATTTTTGGTTATCTCTTCAAAAACCAAAAAACATCAAATATTTTAACTGAACAAACCAAAATAAATATTGATTTAGAATAATAATTATATTTTGGAAAATTAAAAACCAAAAATAACCTAAAACCGAATTGATATCCATATTAGATATATTTAATGTTTATGTATTAAAAATACCGAAATTACTAATCATATCCCGTACAAGACACCAATTGTTACCTAGTATAATCTAGTAGAATACTAAACTCAAATATAATTACAAAAGGTAATCAAATCCATGCACACGTTGGCTTGGACATATACTACGCGCACGCATAGGCTTGAGAACTGAGGCTCCTCCTGAGCCACCGACAGATAGTTTTGTGAGTCTGTTTGTTATTGTCAATTCGTTCCTCAGCTGATTAAAAATTTATCTACGCATTTATTTTGGTTTGTTTACAATAAGTTTGTTCTATTTTTTATTTATTTTTTGATAAAGGGCTTAATACGTTTGTTCTATTTCGAGCTGACAATCAAAAAGAAACGTCTATCTGACTATCTTTGGTCATTTTCTTAAATCTGAATACTTACGTTAGTTTTGAATATCGATAAGTAACTGTTAATGCTTTATTATAGTATGACTTATAAACCACCTTCCTAGATTTTTTCTCGGATGTTCATAACATTACTTAAAATACTTGAGCATTAAACTTGTGATATGGAATACTAATTTACAACAAAAAAAAAAAAACTTGTGATATACTACTACACAATTTACCCACATTTAAATATGTAGTCTGAGATAGAAGTCCGTAATAAATTTACCTATGAATATTATACGTCTTTCTCTCTTTTTTGTTGTTAACTTCTGATATAAATTGATAATTACAGCAAATTATTTAAAGAGAAATATTAAAGTCTGTATGTTTCCCACTGGAAAATGTATTTCTTTTCTTAGCAAAATAAACAATTAAGTCCGACAGCAATGTAATGCCGGATGTCGGTGGAAATGTATATGGTCACAGAAAATAGCATATACTATTATACTATTCATTTTCTTTATAATAATTCGTGGATTCTAAAATTTTCTAAAACATCGCATCTCATAATGAGACTTCGACGTGAGCGACAAACTAAACTCACTACCTTCTTATTAAACTCACATCCATAGTTCCATACCACGACAAATACAAGTATGATTGTATTAATATCTGTACGTAACCTGTGGAATATTTTTCTTTCGAAAAAACTTGTGGAATACTAATGCTACACTAACATGCATGTTTAGCTTAACATTTAGACCAAAAAAAAAAAAAAACATGCATGTTTAGTTCTCGTCAATGTGTATTGGCAAGAAAATTGTGAAGAGCTAAAATTCGTTAACTTTAAAATTTGTTTTGTTTCTCGAATAGTTCAAAATACAACGACAGCTTGATTGGCATGTGTATATTCATATACTTTTCTATGTAAACTATGTATCTTATTCGATTTTTCTGAACAATTAAAATTATTAAAATTTTGCCAAGAAAAAGGGTTATAGATTGTTTTCTGCTTGGTAACAATAAATGAAAAATCTAACAATTGATTACTAATAATTTGAAAATATAGAAGCGGTGTTTTAAAACACCGCTTCTTTTTTTTTTTTTTTTTTTTTTTTTTTGTGTTCAAAAAAAAAAGAAGCGGTGTTTTAATCTTAAGTTTTCTTTTGTTCGAAGGCTTTAGTTTTTGTTTTTAACTTTAGTTTTGAATAAATTTGTTTTATGACTTTGTTGGATAGTATTCTCTTACAAAAACCGAATCTACATTAGTAATGTTAAAAAAAAAGAATCTACATTAGTTTTAAAAAGGGAAAATTCCATATAAATACCCCAACTAAATTTTATTAAGCTTTTTAATACCCAAACTTTTTCACTACCCAATTTAATACCTCAACTAATAATTTTTCCCACTTTAATATACAAACCTTTATAATTGTGCTCATTTTAATACCCAAACTTTGTTTATTTTAATTAACAATACTAATAAGTTTCAAACAAAAATTTTAAAAATCTCCAAAATCTAAGAAAAAATATTTAAAATTTCTAAGTTTACTCTAAGATTTAAGAAATAAGGTAAATAAACTCTGGAGAAAATTTAAATGTTTTAAAAAAATAATTTTGAAGGAAAAAAAACAATTTACTTTTTTATTTCAGAAAACAAACTAAATTCAATATATAAAACTTAAAAAACTTTTTACAAAACTTAAGATTATAAAAAATTTATTTAATTTCATTTCCATAACATATAATAAAATCAATTTTTTTTTGTAAATTTTAGAAATTTTGAAAATTTTATTGGAAATTTATTCGTATTGTTAATTAAAATAAATAAAATTTGGGTATTAAAATGGGCACATTTATAAAATTTTGTGCATTAAAATGGATAAAATAATTAGTTAGAGTATTAAACTGGGTAGCGAAAAAGTTTGGGTATTAAAAAACTTAATAAAATTTAGTTGGGATATTTATATGGAATTTTCCCTTTTAAAAATCGCGATTTAATACATTTGTAGTGGAGACATAACTAAAAATTATATTAGTTTTAAAAATCGCGATTTAATACATTTGTAGTGGAGACATAACTAAAAATTATATTAGTTTTTTTTTTGTCTAAAGATGTGGTACAACATGTAGTTTGTTAATTTTAATTTTATACCCTTAAACCATAATAACTAGAACATGTATAGTCTTAACTAATTTTAAAAAACGATCCTGAATAAGAAAAAAGTGATTAAACTTCAAAATCATAATAATCAAGCTAAGAACATCTAAATTTGGTTCTATTGATGGCGTTTTCAAGAAAAAAGTTTAAATGTATCTAACTATGTTTCAAAGGGAAACATATTAATTCAGTCTTATGCAATTCATCCATTTGTTTTCTATAAGTACCTCCATATCAAACAAAAAAAAAATCTTTAATCCCATTTGCTAAGAGCAAAAAAAAACAAAACAAGTTTAATCTTTTTCTTCTCGCAAAATTATAGTATTGTTTCTCCAATATAAACATTTTTAAAAATCTCAAATTTTTAAAAGTTGAACATTATAATTCGTTCGGCTCAGCGGCAGATTTTTACCATGCTTCAATTGAAATCAAGGTAACAAAGCTAGTTTAAGTTGTTGTATAAGTGCATAATATTTGTCAGAAATTACTAAAAGGAAGTTGTTATATAGTTTTATGAATTTTAATAAAATTGTTGATATCCTTTAAAATAATAAAACATATTGCACTTCCACGAAGTATTTGATATCTAGCTTGGACTGACAAATGACAACTGTGAACAACGAATAGAGATGGTCCATCTATTTATTTATTTATTATACATTCTGTAGACATACTTTGATTTATTTATTAATTTATTTTCCATATAACTTTGGCATCTCTTTGTAAACGAGAGATCCACAAGTCTAGAATATGCTAATTTATTAACGTAGCCGATACAAAATCATTTTGCTGTACTAATTTATTTACATATGTACAAGAAAGTGAGGCAAAAACGTATGAAATAAAACCATTTGATTGGTTCTGGAGTCTGGACCAGATAACACACTATACGGTTTACACATTTGATTATCTTATCCTATGATCACAATGGAGATATTTATTTTATTAGTAGTTTTGAATTTTGACAGTTAACTTGTGGATTAGTTTTGCTTAACGACGGAAATTAGTTTGTCTTCCCCTAAAAAGTTATGCACACACATTTTTATTTATTTTTTTGCTAAATTATTGTTATGGAACGTAAACAATAACTGAAAATTATCATTTACGTTCCAATTAATTTAGGTAAACTTTACCCCATCAAACAAAACGGAACTAATTTTTTTAAAAAATAAATTGAATGTATTTGGTCAACCAAAAATTCGGTTTCGTTGCTTTCTCTAAATTATTAAAAAAATACATTTCAATGCGTGCATGTATGTATCAATATAAAATTATAATATAATTTTTTTTTGATTTATTAAATTAAAGGTCTACTTTGGCGTTGTATCAAATCAACAAAAAATAATAATAATTATTTCGTTACATAAAAAACACTATAAATAACAGTTTTTGCCGACGAAAAAAAAGAAAAGACCGTTTTTTATTTCCTAGAAAAAGCGTTGATTTTGCTGCACATTCTCTCTCTCTCTTTTGTTTGTTATTCCACACCGATCTTCTCCCTATATCTCCGACGTACTCATTCTCCGGTGACGGAGAATAAGCTTAAACATTTCCCACGAATTTTCCATTTTTTGTTATTTTTTTTAAGTTAAAAAAAAAGGATCCATCACCATTGCGGAATTTCAAAGCCTTCTTTTATTTATCTGTAACGTTAAGTGTTGTCTTCAATAGTTTCTGTGTTGATAAGAGTTGAAACTTGTCACTGAGATTCTTTAATTTTTTTTTTCAGTATTTTTTTTTTGGCTTTATTTAATTAAGCAAGATCTGGGTCTTTCGAGGTGTGTGATTAATGCTCACTGAGTAGCAGTTTCTCTGGGCGTGTAATTACGATTAGTTTTTTTATTATTATTATTAATCTCCGCTAAGTGTTCGATGAAATTCCTCTGAGAGAAAACATCTGTGAGAAAAGGGTAGAAAAAAAAAGAAGAATGTGTAAAACGGAGAAGTTTCTTTACCACAGGAAGCTATGGGAGATAAAGGTTAGGCTTTTAGGAGATAGCAAGGTTGAGAAACTCAGAAACTCCATTGTCTCGAGGTCTCGTATGAGTCTATGGATGATTCGTGCTGTTTCTGTGTTGTTGCTATGGAGTTGTTTCGTTCATTTGATGGCTTTGGGAGATATGTGGGGGCCTAGATTGTTCAAAGGTTGGCCTTCTTGTTTTAATCAACATGGTTTGTCTACTGCCTTGGAGATGAAGTCTCTTCCTGCTAAAATTGCTCTTCCTCCTAAAAGTAAGTGTCAAGATTTGTGATGATGGAGCTGACTTGGGAAGATGAATCTTGAAAACTGATCTTTTTGGTTTTGTTTTTGTTTCTCTCAGGGGTGTATCGGAACAATGGTTATCTTATGGTTTCTTGTAATGGAGGACTCAATCAAATGCGAGCAGCTGTAAGATGAGATTCTATCTGCTAAGTTTCATCTCTTAGTGATATGGTTTGCTTACTTTTTTTTTTTTTGGTTTGTTTTTTGACAGATATGCGATATGGTTACTGTTGCACGGTACATGAATGTTACACTTATTGTGCCTGAGCTTGACAAGACCTCCTTTTGGAACGATCCAAGGTATGTCTTGTCATCAATTTTTTTCACTTGAAGCTTCTTTTTCAGCTCTGTTTTTTCTTTACAATATGTTAATTTGTTTTCTTCTTTCTTGGAGTAGTGAGTTTAAAGACATTTTCGATGTGGATCACTTCATATCTTCGTTAAGAGATGAAGTTCGTATACTTAAAGAGTTGCCTCCAAGGGTTAAGAAAAGAGTTGAGCTTGGAATGTACCACGAAATGCCTCCTATTAGTTGGTCAAACATGTCTTACTACCAAAATCAGGTTAATACTTTTTTCGAGATTAATTTATACTTGTTCTACCTATATCCTCTTGTTAACTCATTAAATTGGAACAGATTCTTCCCTTGGTGAAGAAGCATAAGGTCTTACATCTGAACAAAACCGACTCAAGACTCGCTAATAATGGACTGCCTGTGGAGGTTCAGAAGCTGAGGTGCCGAGTGAATTTCAACGGCCTTAAGTTTACTCCTCAAATTGAAGAACTAGGTAGAAGAGTAGTCAATATTCTGAGAGAGAAAGGTCCCTTTCTCGTCCTGCATCTCAGATATGAGATGGATATGTTAGCATTCTCTGGTTGCTCACATGGTTGCAACCCCGAGGAAGAAGAAGAACTAACAAGAATGAGGTATCTAATCTTTCTTTTATTGTCCCAACTTCGATGGATATATTGATGCAAATGTATCTTTGTTGGTAGATATGCTTATCCATGGTGGAAGGAGAAAGTTATAAACTCCGAGGAGAAGAGAAAAGAAGGCCTTTGCCCATTAACTCCTGAGGAAACTGCTCTCACGCTGACCGCGTTGGGTATTGACCGTAATGTTCAAATATACATAGCTGCTGGAGAAATCTACGGTGGTGAAAGGCGGATGAAGGCTTTAACTAACGCCTTTCCAAATGTGGTAAGTTAGACATTTCCTTTTTTTCTGCAGTAATTTCAAACTTGTAATCTTCAATTGACTCCATGATCATAACTAACTCAGGTCCGGAAAGAAACCATACTGGAATCCTCTGATCTAGATTTTTGTCGGAACCATTCATCTCAAATGGCTGCACTTGATTACCTAGTGGCTGTTGAAAGCGATATATTTGTTCCAACCTATGATGGGAACATGGCAAGAGTCGTTGAAGGTCATCGCAGGTGAAATGTCTTTCATCTTTCTTCCCATATCTATATCATCTTGAGGCTAACACCATTTTCTTCTACAGATTCTTGGGATTTAAGAAGACAATTCAGCTGAATAGGAAGTTTCTAGTTAAGCTGATAGATGAATATACCCAAGGATTGTTGACTTGGGATGTGTTCTCATCCATGGTGAAGGCGTTTCACTCTACTCGAATGGGAAGTCCGAAGAGACGGTTAGTGATTCCAAATAAACCGAAGGAAGAAGACTACTTCTACTCCAACCCGCAAGAATGTCTGCAGCTGTTAGATGAACCATTGAGAGTCATTTGACCATTGCCGAGAAGAGAACATTTACAGTCTTAAAGATGGAGTTACAGTGAGTTTCTTTATTTTTACAGGTTTGAGTTACTTAGAGTTCTTGGTGAATAGATTTCTGAATGAGCTTCCATGGATGGAGAGAAAAAAAAAATGATGCTGATTGAAGCTTACATTGTAAAGTTTGGCATCCATGGCATTGCCAGTTTTGTTAGCTAAATAAAAAGTGCCATTTTATGTAAATTAAAGCTTTGATTATTCTATATTTCAGATTATTATTTCCTCTCTTCAGTTTACACATTAGGAACAATTTTCTATTGATAGCAAAATGTTGTCTATATAAAGAAAAACAATAATTTGCCGAATGCAAGACATATCATAAATAACCAATAGCAAATGTCAGTATCCAGATTGTACTAGTTACACTGGTGTACTAGTAATCGGTGGAAACAGATAGGTGTCTGACATTTTATTTATGATAATTGATAACATTTTCAAAGAATCTGGACAATTCAAATAACCAATGAAGAAGAAATATTACCCCAATTTTTGAAGAGATGTATAGGAGCATAAGGTTTCAAGTGTAATTGAGTGATCCAAGAAAAAAAAATATCTATTCTATAAGTATACAAGTGATCCAAGAAATATTTAGTAGCTTTATTTATACTCTTATCAACGAGTGATCCAAGACATTCCAGTTCATCTACCACTCATCAAATTCCGTAGATGTTATTGATCTTACCGATACCAAACTCACTATCTACAAGATCTTTTCTTCTCTTTCTCTCATCTGTTTATACTATTTGACACTATAATCATTCACTGCAATTTTATATCTTCAAAGATGTTTCAACATAAAGACTATATTGGTTTCTTCAAACGAACTTTACATTACATAGTGCTTAGCCGTTGTGATATGTCTCCTTACCTTCTTTTTCCTCTGTCAACAGCTCCCTTTGGTTGCTTATTGATTGGTACTATTAACAGTTGGATCCACTGAGATTCTGAGACACACTACATGGCTTTCGCAGCACAACAAGTACACAAAAGTTTATCAAGATATCTTTGTTAATTAATAGGTTCAAAAAAGTGGGTGGCTATTGTTTATGGGGTTTAATAGTTTTTGAAGTTAATAATTTTACCTTTTTGATGTAACCTATATATTCATATGATTCATTGATTCTAGTATTACTTGGTTATTTTTTAATTGATTTGGCTCTTTATCCACATTATGTATTTTCAAGAAGTTCTACAAAGTTGTAATGAAAAGCAGCATAAGCCTCTGCTTTTTTATAACTTGTCAGCAAGTTGTAAACATCTTTGATTTTGAGACCCATGTGGTAATAGTATATACAAAAAGGCTTCTTCCTAAAGAATAAAGGAGAGTTACAATGTTGTTGTATTGTTACTCTCTTGATGATCCTCTTCTTTGACACCAGCCAATAACCCTAACTCAACATGCTGATCCTTAATCCTGCTTATAACCCTTGACATATCCTCTCCATCAATAACACCAAACGATGAAGACATTGTGTCCTGTCTTCTTCCTCCTCTAGACCGACCTTGTTTGATCTTTAGTATAAACTGTGTGACTTCTCCAATGGATGGTCTTTTTCTTGGTGTCTTGTGCACACATCTGTTTGCAATCTTGGCCAGTAACCTCACTTCTTCAATGCTTGCGTTTCCCTCTAGCTTCTGATCAACTATCTCGTCAATACCATCTGGACTCATCGAAGCCTAATCATCAGGAGAAAACAGAATCAGTCACTGGAACACATCATGTTACTTTTTTTCTGTAAACTTACCAGGTTGATGTATTCCATCAGATTCTGTTGGGGATGGATTGCAGTAATGAGCTCAAGGATGATGACACCAAAACTGTAAATGTCGCTCTTCAACGTGTACTTGTTAGTCGAAATATACGTTGGATCCATGTATCCGTGAGTGCCTTTCAATCCAGAGTTCATTCTATCAAAAACCATCTCTTTGGACAATCCAAAATCCGCAACCTACCAGAAGACAGAAGACCAATCAAACAGTGTTGAGTAAACCATATTCAACAATTTGCTCACTTACCTTGGCTCTCATGGAGTGATCTAACAATATGTTTGCAGATTTAAGATCACGGTGGATAACAGGTGGCACGGCCCCCTCGTGAAGGTATTCAATGCCGTGGGAGATGTCAAGAGCGATTTGAAGCCGCTCTTCTCATTTCAAGACTTGTGTTTCTTCACCGCCACCATACAAAAGATTCTCCAAGCTTCCATTACTCATGAACTCATAGATCAACATCCTGTGACTTTTATCAACACAGTATCCTACCAAGTTCACGAGGTTCCGGTGATGCAGCCTCCCAAGTAAAGATACCTAGAAAACAAGTTCCGTTATCTGCATTATGCATAGACCAAGGCATTGAGAGGATTGCTACACTTACCTCAGTTTGAAACTCTCTATCTCCTTGACTTGAGTTAGAGGCATGAACCTTTGCTGCAGCTAGACCTCCATTAGGCATAACCGCTTTATACACAGGGCCAAAAGATCCTTGTCCAAGAATGGTTGTGAAATTTTGCGTTGCCTTCTGAATATCCCTAAAGAACTTTAGACCATAAGACACTACAGCCTTAAAAAAAAGTCCATACAAAGTCAAGTTTTGGAGAGAACACTCACTTGTAGTGATATTTAGGTATGCCGGATGCAGATACAGTGAGATCTTTGCTATGGTTATTGTTCCACCATGGCTGATGTTGAGTTGGTGCTGCATTCTCAGGTAGCTGTACCGATGCTGTGTTTGCGCTATCATCAGGGATTACTACACCTCTTTTAGCAGTGTGGACAGGTAGAGTCCGGACATTCTGTTCATTAGCGCATCGTCTTAGATGAGAGCGGCCATTGTACCATTTTATAGCGAAGTACAAAAGCAGAGCGAGCAAGAGACCAAGTGCAAGCCCAACCGAAATGCCAATCACTACCAAATCACTTCTATTCACCATTTTGTTATCATCTCTCAAACTGTAAAGGAGTTGAGTCCAAAGAAGAATAACATCTTCTCCTGCATAGCATGACAATTTTTACTGGACATTCAACTCTCAAGATAATCATACATTGTATATGAACTCCATGTTTGGTAATACCAAAGATTCATTAAAAAAAAAACACAGCAAAATCACTAGATTGCCATCAATTAACTACTTCCAAAAGTGGGGAACAAGCATCAAAGGTTCAATCTTTATTTAAATTGTCTCTGTTCAACAACAAAATTGGATAAAGAGATCAAAGATCCAACCTTTTTTTCTTTACTTACAAAACCCTATAGGTAACAAGCAACCTTAGTGGCAGCTAATCACAGATTCAAAGCCAACAAAGATCACAACTTTTTTTTTCTAACACTACTTAGCTTGAAGGTTTCTATATTCCTACCAACTAAACAAACATCAGAACCAAAATGGGTTCCATCAAAAACTCTCGAGATAATAAAAAAGAGACAACCTTTTTACCTTCCAAGAATCGCAAATCCAAGGAACAGCAGAAAGCTACTGAACACTATTCTTAGACAGGACGAAGCGAAGGAGGAGATCTAGGGTTTTGATATCTGCAAGATTTGTGGTCTCTCCCTCTCTTCTTCTCTTCTTCTTTCGCTTTTGAAGACAAAAGTCAAAATCTAGAAGAGGACTTCGTCCATAAAGTAAAACTGATCAACGAAAGGAACAGAGAGAGCAAACTGTAGCATTTAAGTTTTTTTTTTTCTTTTTTCTTTCACAGGGAATATTTGTTGGCTTGACAACGCGTTTACTTAATTAAAAATTTATTGAAATATTCTAAAATTTAATGTTTTTTTATTATGAATTTGAACTTTAATATGTTTCTCTCTTTTTTCTAATTCATGGGGTGAATGATTTAAACTTTTGAAGCATGACCCAAATACATTAACTAAAATATAAAATTGGTACTTCAAGTTGGTGCAAAAAATCATATAATATAATTGAGTTTGCTTTGTCAGAAGTTCACAATTTATGACTTGACCAAATCCAGCTTGGTTTGCTTTGAACATATGTATATATTGGCAACTAATATCACCTAATTAATAAATTTAGTGAAAATACACATATGTTTGTGTAATATGTGTTTTGTCTTAGCAAATAATCAAGTGAGGAATTAATATATTTCAGTGTAAGGCTATTACGACATGACAAACTACTTTTACTTTCAATATTATAAAAACTTAGATCAAATTATGTTTATATAAAAAGTATAAGCCGAATCTACTTAACCTGAGCATTCAAAAATCTAATCAAATGTTGACTTTAACCTATATATCTCCAAATGTATTGAGAATCTACAAGATAATATACAAAAACACTAAACCAGTCAATGAACTCTTATATAAAGTAATATAATGTACTCATATTCAGCATTATTACATCCATTTCAAGTAACTTAATAAACTACTAAAGTAAACACAAATTAAAAGTTAATCAATTGTGAACTGGACTTCTTTTCCTCGGATTCACTGGTGAAGGATACTCGTGCCTCATTAGTTGATCCACCTCTCTTTCTAAATCTGTCGACGACATGGAGTCTTTCAACGATCGAGTCGCTACATTTGTTGTTTCAATTGGTCTCGGAGATGTGAGCTTCGAAAACTGCTCAATATTGACAAGAATAATGTCAACTTTTAAGAGTGTCCGATCCGAATGATTATATCAAGTTCACAATATCCAAAAAAAAAAAGATTCAAAAGCTGAAATGGATCTTAGTTCTATTTAAAAACTATATTTGAAAACTGATACAGAAATTAACCAAAACAAATGCAACAGGAATCTAAATCAAAGAGTATATAATATTTGATTTGATCGAAATCTCAACAAATCAAATGAAAATCACAAAAATTTTATGAATACATATCCAAAAACTAATTTAATTCGAACTTTGTTACTTACCTTCCGTCCGATCAAGAGATCTTCAGCAAGAGATCCACCTACATATACTTAACATCGTCAAGACTAATGTGTTTACGAAGAGAAGAAACATGTATGTAAGGACAGAATATACACAGTATATATGTGTGTATATCTTCATAAACATCATTTCACAATCAAAACTAATGAGTAGGTACAAACCTCGAAGAACATGAAGAGCATATATGAGGAAGAGAAACCCTAACAGGAGAGTCGGTAACTTCACAACTGGTTTTATCATTTTATCTCGTTGGTTGTTGTCTTTGATACTTCTCTACTTACGCTGCTTTTGTATGATGTATATCAGTCTTCAACATTTGACGTCAATGATCGATAAATAGTTAAGTTTTTATATATAAAAGATGTTATAGATTTTGTGAAAACAACAGGCTTGCTAGGGTTTCCGACAAAAAGATACTTCTTCTTGGTAATGGTGAGGAGGTTTTATATTAACGATGTACTTGTTTAGAAACTTAATAGTAAGAAAAAACACTTGTCTAACCTTTTCTTCTTTTGATAAATAATGGTCCACACAATTGCTATGAAAAAAAAAACGGATACATTTTTCTTGACGATAGTAAATGTGTGAATAGATTTATTACTAATTACAAATAGACGATGCATGTATAGGCAAACGTTTTTAAAATTAAGCATGGTTATGAACTTATGATTAGTTAAGATTTTAGAAGCTTTGAAGCTAGTCTTAAATTTTAGTGCTTATAAGAAAAACTTATTGTGCTCGATTTAGATTGAAATTTTAGTTGCTTAGGGTTCCTAAATAAGTCTGAGATTTACATTTTACCCAAAAAGATCCCTTTTAATTTTAACCATCAATTTGCTAAAAAAAAATGCCTTGTTGGAGGAATTTTTAATCAAATCTATTATACATTACTATAGTTTGAACATCGAAATTGATATATTCTTTGTGAGACACGAGGACGGGTTCTCCGGTTCCATCCTTGTGGTCTCTTCTTGAACTTCCACACAATATATAAATGTTTACAATGCATTTACCTAACATCATATTTTTTAATTATAGTTTTAAATAGTACTCTGTTAGTTTTCGTATTTGTACAGAAATAAGAATCCAAAATATATATAGGAAGCAATGATTACATCAGCAATTACCTTATGCATGAGATATACACAAGCAGACAAATCTACAGTGGAGAAGACTATGCAGAGATTCTTTCAGCTCAAATATAAGTAAATTAAACTCTTGTCATTATTTCATAGTACTAATAAATTCACTATAGTAATACAAATTGTCATCTCATTGACAGAACGCTTAAAGTGTGTTCTTTTACATGTACTTGGCAGACACTATACAACTTAAAAATCGTGTTAGCTGGATTATGACCATTAGATTGCATGCGGAGTCAGTTTATCTATGGTAAGCGGCAACAACAACAAGGGGTGTATGATAAAGATCAATAATTTGGTATATACATATCCATGTGGATAAGACAGTGATATAGAGAAAGTTTTCTCATCCAGAGACTGCTAATAATTTACATAAAGCTAAAAACAAGTTTAGACTTTAGCTTACAGTTTTTCTCCCATGTTAATCATTCTGGTGTAGCATATCAATTGTTGACAAGGTCTTCATCAAAAAGCTCTCTGACACGTTTTGCTAAGAAGCCAAGCTGTTATACTTTGAAAGACTGATGTGGAAACCAGAAGATGATTACTACTGTTCACTGGACGGATGCATCAAATCTAGGCTCATAAAAGCACACTTGACTGTTACACGACTGAAGCGCACACCCTGAGATCCAAGACCAAATCTTCTTATCCACATTATACAGAAGCCCTTTCCCTTGATTCCACGACGTAAAGCAGATCAAATTATCTTGTCCAAAACACTCAAACCTCTCAGCCGAAAGTCTCAGAAGCGCTCTGAAGTACTTTGGTGGCATTCTACTAATCTCCACCCAAGAAACCTTCGTATGATCAAGCTCCCAAATCCTCATACTTTGAAGAGTACTGTACAAACCAATCCTTCCCACAAGAAACAGCCTCTTCTGAGTTCCAGCAACTAAGTAACCATCCAACAAAGACCTCGGAAACTTAGCTGGAATATGCTCCCACTTCCCTGTATCAACCCCATACATCATCAAACCAAGAGGAGACAGAGTTTCTAGATACAAACGAGAATCACAATACGCCATTTTCGAAGAGCATAAGTTAACCGCAGGCATGATCTGATGCAAAGACCATTTATCACTCTTGGAGTCATAAACCTCTGTAGGAAGTGACTTATCCCCATAGATATCACTCGTTGCTATCACTTTAAATGATTTCTCCGAACGATCCACAACCATAATCAACTGCCGTTGCTGATTACAATGCATACTCGGTAAAACCCTCCACCTCTGCATCAGAGGATTACACACCAAAGTCCTGAAAGTCAAACCATCAAGCCCCGAGAAACAAACAAGTCCACCTGAAGAACCAACCAACCAAACAGCCCACGGAGGCAAAAACGTGAAAGGAACTTTGTACCACGTCTTCAACGGCAAGCTGAAAACCGAACACTGCGGAACAATCTGCGGCGAGTTCTTCCAAAAGGTGAGGAGACAAGGTCCGTGCGAGGAGACGTGAGAGTGAAACTTGAGGAAACTGTTGTCCTGAAGAATCAAGTTCCATTTTTTACAAACGGAACGGATTCGGAATATCATAAACGGTGGGAGTCTAGCTAAAATCTCGTTGAGGAGATCCTCTGGTAGCATTGACCAGATACTGTCTTCCATGGGGACATCGGTGATGACAACTGGTTTACCGAATGAAGCTACTGTTTCTTCCTCGAGACCACGTGGTTTGGTCTTGATTACGTTCTGCTTAGAGGGACTCGTGTTTCTCGACGGGACACGACTTAAAGGGCTAACATTTCTTGAACGAGAACGCGTATTACTACAACTCTCTTCAGAGAAAGGAATTACATTTCGAGAATCTGGTGACTTTTCGACACTACCCATTAATAATCCCCAGAATCCGATTCGTTCCATTCAATCTCAAATCTGAACCGTCGGATAAAGATCACTCGATCAGATCTTTGAACGGAAAACCCAGAAGAGGAATTACGAAAGTGGCCGCAAAGGAACTCAAAACACGGGAGAGGAGTGATCGGAAGCCACGTAGGGTGGAGTTAGAGTAAAGATTCGAACTTTCGATCAGTGAATGGGAATTTACCTCTGGAGATTATGCAACAAGCTTCGACCTTTCGCATCCAATGACGTATGTTTCGGCAGATGGGTTTTTTCTCTCTCTCTCGAGAGATTTGATACAATTCAGTATCTGCAGCTTCAATTCCGAGAAAGGAGAGAGCTTGTTTTAATGAAACAGAAGTAAAGGGGCTATTTTGTAATATTTAAAGTTGTAGAGGAGGTAAATAATCAATCTGGGAGGAAGTAATCACTTGTGAAGTTGTGAGTGACCCAAAGGTGAATCCCAGCCTAACATCCAACCACTAATGGACACATACCAAAAAAATACAGATTTTAGTATAGTTCTAAATTTTGAGATTATAAATGAGTATAATGTTGACAAAAAAGTATAAAACCCAAGCGATATTATTCATAAAAATCCAAATCTTATATATTGCGTGTTTATCATATCTGGATTGTAATTGTGTTCCACAATTTTGGTTTTTTTTTGGTGACAAGAACTGGGTACCAACTACTAAAATATTGTTTGAAATTGCCAAATAATAGAAGAAAATAAAATAAAAACTATCAATATTTTTAGTTAATTGGGCTCCATAAAGACCAGAAGCCTTTTGCTTAGTAAAGAGATTATGGGCCGTACGGCCTTTTAGAAAGAAAAAAATTACTGGGTCGGGTATAGATATCTAATTACGGTGAAAGAAGTGTTTTAGCGAAGGGTTTAAGTGAGTTAAAAAAAAAATTACCTTGTTCTCTTTCTCATGCGATCGAATTTCTCCATACTCGTGCTCTGTTTATGCTCTGTTTTATCGATTTACTCAGTGTAAGCTCTTTTGATGACCATTGCCCAAACTCCAGTGTTCTTGACAAATCAAACTAAACTTTTCGATCAATTGATTCCTTTTCATAAACCCTTGATCCCTATGTGGAGGAACATTGCTCAACAAGCTAGACTCACCGTCGCTTCTTCCAAAGCTCGTACCTTTCTTGGACTTTCTCAGAAGCCCATCCTCCTCCTCTCGAAAAATCCAATCTTTCAATCTCCAGTGTCCATCTCAAACTCAGAATCTCAAAAATTTGGTTTTCGTTGTTTAAGTGGCATCACGAGAACAGAGGCTAGAGGGTACACTAGTGTAGCTGAAGAGGTCTTGTCAACAGACGCCGAGGAAGATCTTTCCGTTGTCGAATTGTTGAAGAAAGAGAAGAAGAGAGAAGACGTTGGCATTGGTCGTAGTAAGTATCGGAATCTATGGAGGAGACAAGTTAAGATCGAGACAGAGGAATGGGAAAGAGCTGCTAATGAGTACAGAGAGCTTTTGGAAGATATGTGTGAGCAAAAGCTTGCCCCTAATCTTCCTTATGTCAAGTCCTTGTTTCTTGGTTGGTTCGAACCGTTACGTGATGTTATTAGTAAAGAGCAGGAGTTGTATAGGTTAGGGAAGAGCAGAGCTGTTTATGCGCATTATATTGATCAGTTGCCTGCTGATATGGTTGCTGTTATTACTATGCATAAGTTGATGGGGCATTTGATGACTGGTGGTGGTAACGGTTGTGTTAAGGTTGTTCATGCTGCTTGTTCTGTTGGGGATGCTATTGAACAAGAGGTTTGTTGGTTTGATGATCTCTCTCTCTCTGGTTTGTCTTTTTGGTTTTATTGTTGATAAGCTGTAGAGTTTTAGCTCCTAAAGCTCTTTTTTGTCACAAATAAACCTGAACCTTTAGGGTTATCCCATATCTTTTTAGTGCCACTCATTTTTAGTATCCCATATCTTAGTGCCACTCATTCATTCAGCACATGACAGTTACCTCTTATGTGGAGGTGTGAAGTATTTTTTTCTTTTTAATTAGCATATAAGGTTATCTTAGTTGTCAGTGATTGGTATGCTCGATGTTGTTTGGATTTTTTTGTATTCTAAATGTGTTTTTTTTTTCTCTTGATTGGATAGATAAGGATATGCACATTCCTGAATAAGACCAGGAAGAAAAAAGAGGATGGTAATGAGGAAATTGAGGAAGTTGAAAATGGAACTGCAGTGAAGGAACAAGATAAGTTAAGAAAAAGGGTCAATGATTTGATAAAGAAACAAAAACTGTCAGCAGTTAGAAAGATCTTGCAGTCACATGACTATACAACACCATGGACCTTAGATGCTAGGGCTAAGGTGTGTGTAATGCTTGACTGCGATATTGCTGATGAAGTAAAGAATCTTATGTTGGCTGCATAAGTTACAAACGTTTTGATATTTGCTAATTCATATCCCAGGTTGGAAGTCATCTTATAGAGTTGTTGGTAAGGACAGCTTATATACAGTCTCCAGCTAATCAGCAGGATAATGATCTGCCTGATGTCCGACCTGCATTTAAGCATACCTTTAAGACAGTAGCGCAAGGAAGCATGTGAGAAACTTTGGTCTAATGGTTTTTAACTAGTGCGAATCTTCTTGTCCCGAATGTCATAACCTTATATTTCGGCCTTTCTTGTACAACAGGAAATCTGGGAGAAAATATGGTGTTATCGAGTGTGACCCTTTGGTCCGGAAAGGCTTGGAAAAAACTGTAGGTGACCTATTCTCGTTTCGTTTGTTAGTCAGATTAATTTTTAACCCAAATCAACGAAAATAATGGTGAATTTTATTTGGAATTTATGTTCACTTGGTTGACTGTTATATCTAAAGAGGGGTTTACTTGGTTGCCGCCTGTGAATATGACTGAATAGATGTGGGATTTGAGTATTAAGCTATAACATCTAAACTATATTCCTGGAAGTGTCACTATCAACTTTTTTTTTGTTGTGCAGGGGAGATATGCAGTGATGCCATACATGCCAATGCTGGTTCCCCCTCTCAAATGGTCGGGGTGAGTAAGCTTTTTTTTTTGCTGTATGCTTACCCTGAGTGATGAAATAATTGCATTGCATGGTATTTAAAAGTAAATTCCAAAACAGTTCTTTTTAATGATAATAGCTTCGAGATATTTCAACATTTTTGCATAATGAGCTTGGAAAACCTTTTTTAGTGAACGTTTTGTAAGTCATTTCATTTTCATTGTGTTATTTCGCAGTTATGACAGAGGTGCTTACTTGTTCTTAGCGTCTTATCTCATGAAAACTCGTGGGGCTAAGCAACAACGAGAGGCACTTAAGAGCACACCCAAAGAACAACTAAAGCCAGTCTTTGAGGTCAGACAACACTGGTACTTTAAGTGGGTAAATCAGTAACGGTTGTTAACTTCTGTAATCTTTGGTGGACATTTGCTAGGCCCTGGATACGCTTGGGAGTACTAGATGGAGAGTAAATAAGCGAGTCTTAACTGTTGTAGATAGGTTATGGAGCAGTGGTGGCTGTACTGCTGATCTGGTGGATCGCAACGATGTGAGTTACTGCATGTAGTACATTGATCTGTACAGTAGTTATTGTTAAAGCATTGATCTCTTATGCATCTCGAAGCCTCTTTAATTTCTGTAAATTCAAACTGCAGGTTCCTTTACCCGAGAAGCCTGACACTGAAGATGAGAGCATTCTTAAGAAATGGAAGTGGGAAATGAAATCCGCTAGAAAGGAGAACAGCGAGAGACATTCTCAGCGCTGTGACATAGAACTCAAGCTTTCTGTGAGCTTCTTTTTCCCTTGGCATCAAAGTAAATGTCCATGTTGAGAAATCTGTTGGTAAGTATTGAAATATTTAAATTTGACAGGTAGCACGGAAGATGAAAGACGAAGAAGGTTTTTACTATCCCCACAATATTGACTTCCGAGGACGTGCATATCCCATGCCCCCACATTTAAATCATCTCGGTTCTGATCTATGTCGGGGTGTTTTGGAGTTTGCTGAGGGAAGGCCTCTAGGAACTCCAGGCTTACGCTGGCTGAAGATACATTTAGCAAACTTGTATGCTGGTGGTGTTGATAAGTTATCATATGAGGGACGGCTAGCTTTCATTGAAAATCACTTGGAGGACATATTTGATTCGGCAGATAGACCACTTGAAGGAAACAGATGGTGGCTGCAAGCTGAAGACCCATTTCAGTGTTTGTCCGTGTGCATAAATCTCACTGAAGCTCTCAGAAGTCCATCCCCGGAGACAGTTCTCTCTCACATTCCTATACATCAGGTACTTTCTGGCAGACGTTAACACATTGACATCTTCTCCTTCAGGATTGAAAGTTTCTAATGAGTAGTTTCTCTTTCAATCTGTGTGTGCCCTTAAAACGAACTTCTTTCTTCCACTTTGGGTCTGGCCAGGATGGTTCCTGCAATGGTTTTCAGCATTATGCCGCACTTGGGAGAGACACAGTAATTCTCTTTTATTTTTCTTTGGATCTTTTTTTTTTACCTCTGGCCGCTTGTCATCTTTTTCTGATTTTGGTTTGTAAAATGATTATCAGTTAGGAGCAGAAGCTGTTAATTTAGTTGCAGGTGAGAAGCCGGCAGATATTTATTCAGAAGTAGCTACCAGGTATGCTCTACATCTACTGCTTAAAGCTGACTTAATTTAAAAATGTGCACTCATAATTCCATATACAGGGTTCTTGATATCATGCGCCGAGATGCAGACAGAGATCCTGAAACTTATCCAGATGCATTGCGTGCAAGAAAACTTATCAACGAGGTCCCTCTCTGAAATTCGTTTTATTATTTTAAACATTTCGGTTTCTCTTGAACTGTTTAATGTATATATAGTTTTGGCGTGTGTGCACAAATTGCCTGTTATATGTATTGTTTTGGGGACATTGTTTTCTCAGTCACATAACTTGGTTAGTTGTTACAACTTGATTGTTATCTAGGTGAATCGGAATCTACTAAAGCAGACGGTTATGACATCAGTCTATGGCGTCACCTATATTGGTGCGCGAGATCAAATAAAGAGAAGGTTGAAGGAGCGCAGTGCATTTAATGATGACCAAGAAACTTTTGGGGCCGCTTGCTACACAGCAAAGGTATATATTAAACTAGAAAATCTTGATTTGGAAATTTCATTCATCTGGTTTTTAACGAATGTGTCCTCAAAATGAATGAAGTACTTCTCAGTTCTCATGTACTTTTGGAAGCTAATCAAAAGTAAAAAAAAAATGATTGTTGGCTAGGTAACATCGACTGCTATAGATGAAATGTTTGAAGCTGCACGGGCCATCATGCGTTGGTTCGGTGAATGTGCAAAGGTGTGTCTAGTCATTTTTTTCAACGTCTACTAAATTTACTTTTGTACTCTTATAGTTACTTATGAATGTGAGCAGATAATTGCGGCAGAAAACGAAACAGTTCGATGGACAACACCGTTGGGTCTTCCTGTTGTGCAACCTTACCTTGAAATGGGAACACAACTTGTAAGTCTTCCTAGAGTGAATACCATTTTGTGAACATCAACTGTTGAATATTAAATGTAATGGCTCTCTTCTTTGATATCGAAATGAATGCAGGTAAAGACATCTCTCCAAACCTTATCGCTTCAGCGTGAAACTGATAAGGTTCTGCCTCAGCTTTTACCTTGGTTTTGCTTATAAACAAAAGTTAGGTAAAGAAACAGAGTATGATGATGTGGGTTTTGGTTTTTGCAGGTCGTTGTCAGGAGACAAAGGACAGCTTTTCCACCGAATTTTATTCACTCCCTCGACGGGTGTCACATGATGATGACTGCAGTTGCCTGCAAAAGAGCAGGCTTGTGTTTTGCAGGTTCTACTATCTTTCTTGCAACCTTTCAATCTTTTGTCAGCTAACCTATTGCTTATTGCAAAAACTCTAATAACAGGAGTTCATGACTCATTTTGGACACATGCGTGCGACGTGGATAAACTAAACAAGATCTTACGTGAAAAGTTTGTTGAGCTGTATTCACAACCGATACTAGAGAATGTAAGTAAGCTTCACCCTTTTCTCCATGTTCAGTTAGTTCATTGTTTATGGCCTCTGGAAGGCTGATCATGACGTAGTAGTTTTTTTTTTTGAATCAACAGTTGCTGGAGAGCTTTGAGAAATCATTTCCTCATCTAGAGTTTCCTCCTCTGCCTGAACGTGGAGATTTGGATTTAAAAGTGGTGTTAGATTCACCGTATTTCTTCAACTGATAAATAAATTTATATGGCTTTCGAAGCTCTCAAAGAAGCATTGATAGAGAGAGATTCTTGCAGAACAGAGTGTCATCCCAAGGCTTTGGACTCTGTGTGTAAGAAGGAAGAAAATAAAAGAAAGGCTTCTTGCTAGGACCAGAGCTAAAGAAAAGCTTCTGCGTTTGTGTACAGAGAAAGAGTAAATAAAAAAGGTTTAGGACTATTGTATAAGAGATGGATTAACAGAGAAACAGAATTGGAAGTTCAATATAAAATTTGAAGTAAATTTAAATTTAAATTTAATACATCTTTTGTTACATATAGAGGTTGAGCTTAAATAATTAGGAGCCTTCAGAGTTTGGAAATTAATTAGTAGAATTTAGGGGACATTTGCCTATGCTTTTCCATGTCACTTTTGTCTCAATGGATAGTTCTGAAGACATTGTGCTAGAACAACACTTGTCAACATTTGCTTGTGAACCTGTTGTACTCACTTGCGGTTGCGGGTCGCTATTTGGAGCTTTATGAGGTGGAAAACAGAGATGGAGAGAACAAACAACAGGTTGTGACTTGTGAGTTTAAATTTAAGTATGTGCAATCAAAACGAGGTAGCATGATGTGGGAGAATAAAGATCCAACGGTTGTGAGGAGAACAGATCTTCCTAGTGCTGCTCAAAGTATGGTCGATGCTAATATTCTTTCAAGGAGATCTTCGAGAAACTTGGGGGAAACTGAAGCTCTCAAATCGCAAACATGTAAGATTTTTGCAACGCAACGATTTGGTTGTTTGTATGTTTTTTTTTTCAGTAAGCAATGTGTTTGTGAGTGAATAGTTTGGTGTTGTAGAGACTCTACTTGTATGTTCACGTTTAGTAAAGTCCAGACATTCAACAACGAAAGTTTAAGTTGTTAACCACTTTGTAGTAGTATGCACATGGTTCCAAAGTAAACTCACCCGTCCGAGTGACGCCTTTGATGGATATAAACCTAAATAAATACTTCCAAGGTTCAACACTGAAAGTAAGTTTCTTCAACCATTCAGCATCTTCTTGATCCATAACCGGGTAACCCACACATCAAACGTGTATGTTGATGTTTTGGTGGCTATTGCTACTTTCGCTTGGTAGTTTATAATCACAAGGCAAGTATAGTATACTAGAATCTCTGTGGATGCTTTAGTAATAAGATAAACTTTTCAGACCTCAAATCAAATCTCATTAAGCTGCGTTGCGACAGACTAATGCCAGTTTTAGCAAAATAATATATAAAACCATCTATGCACACACCACTAGACCAAGGACGGTGAGGGATGCTACATTCTACCATTCTCCATGATGGTTTCTTATCTCCCAATGTGAACACTTGATGCTCAGACGATGGCCCTTGAAAATTAGGACCATGCTTTGCTTCCGTCATACACAATACTTTATACTCATCTTTAACTGAATCATATCCAAAAAAAACTTATTGCGACTTTTCTTCTCGTTCTGACTCTAGGTAAAGCTGTGGACTTACCAGTGGTGGGGTTAACTATGAATTGTTCTTGACCATATCCAGCCATTAACGTAATGCGCACGGTACACATGATTTGGTAATGGACATGATGAGCGCGAGAGGAAAGACGACGAGAAGAAGTACCAATCTTCATTTTCGAAATATCTTTCTTTTCCATGCCGACCATTGAATGCGATTAGGAAACGAGGTTGAGACGAACAAGAACCAAGCGGGAAAGATTTCATAAAATCTCTACTGTGGATGATGGTAGCCCATAACTTGGATACTAGAAGAAACCTAGCTATGGATTTCACGGGCAATCTCCCAAGAATCTCAATCACCAAGTCCAGAGGGAGTACATCATAGCTCGAGGCCTGTGGATTAATAGTCACGGTGGTTTTATTCTTTTTGCTACGTGTGGTCATCATCATATGCTTGTTTCTAAACACTAAACTATATTTTTCTCCCTCTACTACTCTTCTCTTTTTTATTTATAAATAGGTTTTGGTTAAAACCCCCTAGACTAGATCTAACCCTAGTAAATCTCTCTACCTTCATATATACACCGTTAGATTAAAAGGGGGCAGACCATAATAAGGAATGAGAAATCAGAGTCGGGTTTGGTCCGGTTCATTTAGATTTCAGATTTTCGGATTCACGAATTTCATCCCATTAAGATATTATAAAAGTTTGGGTCGGATTTGGTTTGGTGGGATTTATATTGGGGATTTTGGTAGTTAAAAAAAAACAGTTTTAATTTAAAACAACTAGCTGCAGCATAATTTATTAAAACCACATACGATCATGACTTCATCAATTCTTGTTTTGCAGAAACAAAAATACTGATAAAAACATTTTCAAACGTATAGTGCTATACTGATTTTACCAAGTAACTACTGGAAGGTGATCATCATCTGCAAGTCAGTATATGCCAGTCCATACGAGAAAATAACTGTGTAGCAGTTTCATGCAGCTTAAGTATGTAAAATCAGAAAGATGCAAAATCAACCTTGGACAGTGATTTATTTGTTACTACTTTATATATACCACGAAGCTAAGCAGACACATTAAGATCAACAGGTACTAGAAAATATGGTGAACATAGTTTTTGAAATTAGACTAATCAAAGGTTCTTGAAGGATGACAAATAAAAAAAGGTTCTTGAAGAAGAAGAAAAAACAAAGTTTGGTAATCAGATATCATAAACTGTTGACACTACAGTAACCGAACACTCTCTATGTAATCCGAAATGAAAATTCCTGTCAGATTATCACGCTTGACGTCATACCTTTCGTTGCCTCCGACCTTAATTTTTCTAAAGGTATCAGTGTAGTTGTTGTAAAGGACAACATAAACCTCATCAGAGCGGTGATCGTATGGTGCAAAAATTATAAGCTCACCCGTCTGAGTGATGCCTGTGATGTGTACAAAATGATACTTAAATAAATTCTTCCGAGGTTCATAACTGAAACTAAGTTTCTTCAACCATCCAGCATCTTCTTGATCCAAAACCCACACATCAAACGTGTATGTTGATGTTTGATTGGGTATTGCTACCCAGGGTCGGCCCAAACATAAGACATGCCCTACTCAAATTAAAACTTTTGGGCCCTTTTTCTTTAAGATAAAAAATTTCAAAAAAAATTGGGCCCTTTTTCTTAAGCTAAAAAACCACAAAATGATTTGGGCCCTAAGCCATTGGTTCCTTTGCCTACCCTATGGGCCGGGCCTGTTGCTACCTTCCCTTGGTAGTTTAAAATCTTAACGTAATTACGCCAATACACGGTGTGTGCAATTTCTGCGGGTACCCGGGCGGTAATAAGACGAAACGTTTCGGACCTCATATCAAATCTTATTAAGCTGTGTTCGGTGCCCGTTTTAGCAGCATAATATATAACACCATCTATGCTCACACTGTTAGTACAAGGACGGTGAGGGATGCCACATTCTACCATTCTCCATGATTTTTTCTTAGCTCCCAATGTGAATACTTGATGCTGAGACGATGGCCCTTGAGAATTACGACCTTTTAATGCTTCCGTCATGCACAATACTTTATACTCATCTTTAACTGAATCATACCCGAAAAAACTTCTAGCAACTATTCTCTTGGTTCTGACTCTTGGTAAAGCAATGGACTTACCGGTGGTGGGGTTAACTATGAATTGTTCTTGACCACATCCGATGCTTAGTAATCCATTAACGTAATGCGTAGGGTACTTCTTTCTCCTGTAATCATAAATTGGTATTGGACATGAGCTGCGTGAGAGGAAAGACGAGGAGAAGAAGTACCAAGGTTCTTCTTTATCTACACGTCTGAAGGCTATTAGGAGCTGCGGTTTGGGAGAACAAGAACCAAGCGGGAAAGATTTAATAAAATCACGACTGCGGATGATGGTAGCCCATGACTTGGATACTAGAAGAAACCTAGCTATGGATTTCACAGGCAATCTCCCAAGAATCTCTATCACCAAGTCTAGAGGGAGTTCATGAAAGGTGCTTGAGGCTTGTGGAGTAGCGGTGACGGTGGTTTTATTCTTTTTGCTGCTTGTGATCATCATCATATGCTTTTTTCTAAACCCTAAAGTATCTCTCTCTCCGTCTACTCTAGCTTTTCTCTTTCTCTTTTTGAAAAGGGAGAATAGGTAGGTTAAGAAATCTTCTATATATACTTGTCTTTGTTAAAACCCCTAGACTGATCTAGCCCTAGTAAATCTCTCTAGATCAATAAATACACCGTTAAACTAAAAAAGAGACAAGCCATAATTAGGGATTAGAAATCGAGGCGGTGGGTTCAATTTCTTCCAACTTTTGAATTTTTAGGTTTATGAATTTCAGTACCATTCGGCTATCATAAAGGTTTGGACTGTATTTGATTTGAGTTTAGTCGATTTTGGTCCAGATTTAGTTACTTATTTAAAATCGGATTGAACCCAAAATTTCAGTTTCACATATTAATCATACTAGGTGTTTTGCCCGCACTTGCGGGCCTAAACATTTTATAATTATTTTATTACATTTTTTACTAATCAAAAAATTATAATGATAAAGTATTATTTATGTTTTATTTTTTTGAAATCAATAATATTTATATTTTCATTTAAACATTCTTACATGTATTTCTTTGTACATTATGTTCCCTACTAAAAATAAATCATCTTAAAATAAAAATAACCTTTTTCTTTTCAATTATATAAAATTAAGATGTTTACTTGATTAATATTTAATTATGCATATCTATTTTTCGAAAAATATATCTTCAGATAACAACACAATATATATATGAATTATCTTATTTAAATACATATTATTTAGATTTTGGATCGTTTTTATGATTATTATTAATTTTAATTATTTAAATAATCAAAATAATTTAAATCCGTTCTTATTAATACATCTTTTACTAATTGAAAGATTATAGTGATAAAGTATTGATTGTGTTTTATTTTTTGAAACCAATAATATTTATAATTTCATTTAACAATTCTTACATATATTTCTTTGTAATTTATATTCACTATTAAAAATAATTTTAATCAAATAATATTAAGGATTGATTGTGTTTAATTTTTTGAAACCAATAATATTTATACTTTCATTTAAAAATTCTTACATATATTTCTTTGTAATTTATGTTCACTATTAAAAATAATTTTAAGATCAAATAATATTTTTTCAGTAATATAAAATTAAGAAGTTGATTTGATTAATATTTAGTTATGTATTTTCAATTGTTTTAATTTTTAACTTTTTTATCAAATATATTTTCAGATAACATCACAATATATATCAGAATTATCTTATTTAAAAATATATTATTTAGATTTTGGATAATTCTCATGATTATTATTAATTTTAAATTAAAATAATTTAAATTCGTTTTTATTTTATATGTAATATATATATTATTTTCATTAAGGGTATAATCGATATTAGCCGCTCCAACTTTTAACGTGGGAGCTCCGTTGCGAAAAATCACTTCGCAAATAATAGTATAGATTATACGTATAGCTTCTAAAAATATTAATTTATACTTGACAAAATTCAGTATATTTTTAATCTTTTCAATAAATTTATATACTTGGTTTCCTCAGACCATATTGGTGTTCATCAAAAATAATTTTTAAAAGACTCATCATTGAGTTATACTGTGACAACATCAAATACACCATAATTAAAGACAAATCAAAACTTTGTACAAACGAACACAATAAAATATAAAAAAATGAAACTGACAACTCTATAAACATAAGAAAAAAAAATACTATTTAATATATCGATGGGCTTTCCAAAGGCCATCTAGCCAAAGTGGGCAACTGAATCTTGCATGGTCGGGTGGGGACCTATGGATACATGATATCTAACAAAAGCATTTTGAAATGTATTAACAGGATTTTGGCAATAAAACAAAAAAAATACTTATAAATATTTTCGCTATTTTATAAAGCATATCATTTTGACAACTTATATTTTTCATAAAGAGTGTCCTTTTTAAATTTAATGAAATTTATATATATTTGAATTTTAATATTAACTGCAAAACACATTGATTTTGTAAATGAAAATATTTATTTCAAATATTATTGGTTAGATACATATAATTTATAAAAACATAAATTTATATTTTAAATTTTATCAAAACTAATACTTATAGTGAAAAAATGGGAGTAGGAAACTCATGGAAAGTTTTTTTTTGTTAACGAAACAAAGAAAGAGTGGGAAAGTAGAAAAAAGAACACAAAATCTTACTTAGATCTTGCATCTTGTAGTTAAGAGACGATCTAAACTTTGATCTCTCCTTTGTCTTGTCTCTGGAACTTTGCTTTTATTTATCCCTGGTAGATTCTTCTTTCATACAAACCCTCCAACAAAATTATCAATGTGTGCTGCAGATCCATGGCTCGCGTGGTTCCATATCAATCTACGAGCTCTTCCAAGACAAAAGCTATTAAAAGCTAAGAGCATAATTATCGCGGGTGCTTAAGCCCAATGCTTAGCTTTAATTTGATTAAAAAAAAAAGAAAATTAATTGAAAAGAGGAGCGTCGACGCTTGATTAAGCAACAAAATCCCCGACGCTTAGGGACACGCGTCGCGAGGAAGTCTCTATCTCTCTCATCTCTTTCTCTCTTTCGTGTTCTTTCTCAATGTTTTTTCTCTCATCTCTATCTCTCTCACCGACTCACGAATGGAAGAAGTTGGATTTTACTCCTCTCCTTCTTGATCTCTCTCGAATCCGAAACTTGTTTCATGCTCCCTCTTCGCCGGATGATTCAATCGGATTTTACTCCTCTCCTTCTTGATCTCTGGGTGACTCCAACTCCATCTCCGGTTGGTCTCCTCAAAGACTCCGCCTTTCTATCTAGATCGTCGACTCCATCTCTCTCTCTCTCTCTGCGATGGTTCTCTCTCTCTGCGACGGTTTGAGGTTTCTCTGCGACGGTTTGAGGTCGATGGATCGAAAGGTTAAGCACCTTGCATTGGAGGCACAAGATTACAAGAGTGCTTAATACAGTTGCTTAACCCTCATTTATTAGTTAAAAAATGGTTAAGCACCCTTTATACATTGCTAGGGATAATTGTGCTCTAAGAACTCATTTCAACTGTGTACAACTGGTTTGAGAAGATGAAATAATTATTTAACTTTTTTATTTTTGAAATTCCATCTCTATATAGAAGGTATTCATCTCTGCTGAATTTAAAGCGTACCTCGTTTTTTTTTTTCTAATAATCTAAAAAATCTTTGATTTATATTACTAATGAAACCCATATTTTCCGATAAGAGGAGATTTCATAGGTTTTATATCCAATAACCTTGGATTTGTAGATATTGTAAGAATTACCATATTCTTTTTTTTCATGTTATAGAGACTTAACTTGTAAGTTTTATTTCTACTACTTTATAGATCACGAAGCAAGCAAACACATAAAGTCCAAACTGGTGTTAGAAAATATGGTGATAATAGTTTATGAAATAAGACTAATCAACGGTTAAAAATAAAAACAAAGTTAAGGTATCAGATATCATGAACTGTCGACATACTCTACAAAAACCGAACACTCTCTACGTAATCCGAAATAAAAATTCCTTCAAGACAATTACGCTTAAAGTCATAGCCTGCGGTTCCTTGGACCTTAATTTTTCTACGGGTACGAGTGTAGTGGTTGTAAAGGACAACATAAACATCATCAGATTCGTAATAGTAGGCTGGTGTCAAAATAAACTCACCCGTCCGAGTGATGCCTTTGATGTATACAAGAGTAGAAAACCCAAATGAACACTTCCAAGGTTCAACAAATAAACTCTTCCAAGGTTCAACACTGAAACTAAGTTTCTTCAACCATTTACGTTCTTCAGCATTTTGATTCATAACCCACACATCAAACGTGTATGTTGATGTTCTAATGGGTATTGCTACTTTCCCTTGGTAGTTTAAAATCACAACGTGAGTATATTGATCCTCAGATAATACAATCTCTGCGGGTACTTTAATAATTAAATCAAACTTTTCAGACCTCAAATCAAATCTCATTAAGCTGTGTTCCGTGCCCGTTATAGCAGCATAATAGATAACACCATCTATGCACACACCGGCGCTAGAACAAGGACGGTGAGGAATGCAACATTCTATCATTCTCCATAATCTTTTCTTAGCTCCCAATGTGAATACTTGATGCCGAGACGTTGACCCATGAAAACGACGACCAGGCGGTACTTGCGTCATGCACAATATTTTGTATTTATCGTTAGCTGAATCATAACCGAAATAAGTTTTTGAAACTATTCTCGGGGTCCTGACTCTAGGTGAAGCAATGGACTTACCAGTGGTGGGGTTAACTATGAATTGTTGTTGACCACATCCGATGCATAGTAAGCCATTAACGTAATGCGGACGGTACACCATCTTCTGATCAGAATTTGGTAATGGACATGATGAGCGCGAGAGGAGAGACGACGAGAAGAAGTACCAATGTTGTTTTTCAAGATATCTTCCTTCTTTTTTATCTACACCTCTGAAGGCTATTAGGAACTGAGGTTGTGAAGAACAAGAACCAAGCGGGAAAGATTTGATGAAATCTCTACTGTGGATGATGGAAGCCCATAACTTGGATACTAGAAGAAACCTAGCTATGGATTTCACAGGCAATCTACCAAGAATCTCTATCACCAAGTCTATAGGGAGTCCATCAAAGGTGCTTGAGGTTTGTGGATTTATGGTTTTATTCTTTTTTCTGCGTGTGATCATGATCGTGCTTGTTTCTAAACCCTAAAGATTTCTCTCCACGTCAACTATTTGATTTGCTCTTTTCCAGCGAGGAGCATAACCTCATAGGTTAAACAATCTTATATATAGGTCTTGGTCCATAGTGTTATAAATTGAAAAGGGACATGCCACAATAGCAGATTAATGGGCTTTGGCAAACTATCTAGAGTGGAAAAGTGGATTTTGTCTAATAGAATCGGGGCTTTGCAACAACATATAAAACGGATAGGAGTTTTGGATGCTGTTTAGTTCAGTAGTTTAATTAAGAGTTCATGATAATGTGAAGTAATAAAGATGCTAAGCTCCGAACATTTTCATGTGTTTAAACTTATTCATATATTTTAAGCATATGAGCTTTGAGAAACAAAGCGCTCTATAGGTGCAGTAATCAAAGAAACACTAATGGGACGTTTATTATTGAAACAAGAAAGAGAAAAATGCTGGGGAGGAATAGCAAAATAAAAACAAAAACATAAATAGCACTACCAATCCACCACTAGACGATGAGAAAGTAATGATAAGTGACAAACTAATCAAAAGCGAACTTCATAAAATCCGAAAAAGTAAAACAGGAAATTTGAGTTTTAAAAAAAATGACCAAAACTGTGGTGATTTTTTTTTTGGTTTGCTCAAAGCCTCAAGCAGTAGTAGCTGGTGGGTTAAGCTCATCCCAAGCTTCAATCCATGTGACCATGGCGTCTGCAAGCTTGTCAAAGTACGGGTCTAAGGAGCTCAGCTTCTCCTTGACCATCTTTGAGAGCTCAATGTAGCATTGCTGAACAGTGGTTGCTTCCTTAGATAGCTTCACGTTCTGGAAGAAAGGAATGATATCCTCCTGCCAGAAGATTCCCTTGTATTCCTTCTTCAGGTTCACAAACGGGTTGCTCGCTTTGCTGTGGTATATGTATGGCAAACCTGTCTTCACTCCCAATCCCAAATGGTCACAGATCACCTATTACAAAAAAAAAAAAAAAAATTAGATATTGCTTAAGTACATAACATTCATTAAGAAAATGAGTATATACCTTGATGCACCAACCAGCCCACATATCGTCGTAACGACCAATAGGCTGACCATCACCCATGAGACCAAAGTACATAGCTGGTCCAATCAAATCACGGTCGAAAGCCAAGTTCATACCACACATTGGGAAAAGTGTTCCCTTTGGGATGGTCATCACAGCATCCACATACCTGACATCATATCAAATGTTTAGCTAAGACTTGAATAAACTAAAAAAAAATAAAATAACAGAACTGGTTATAATAATCACCTAGTGTTCCTCTCCTTAGGCTTGACGAGTTGGGTAGGGGCATCGTAATCAGGGATGTTGAGCCAGAGACCATGGGAAACAGCAGTGGAAACACCTTCACGAAGACTGAAAGGGTATCCACGGACAAAGTCAGCACCTTCACGGTAAGGATCGTACAAGGTGTTGAAGAACAATGGAGTCGATGGACAGAGAAGATTCTTGATGTGTTGCTCAAGTGCGTTCACTGCTTTCCCTGATGGATCCTTAGCAACCTAATACACATCAAATCAAATATACAAATGAGTCAAAGTGACCAATAAACATTAACTTTCCAACAAAACCTCAAAGAACACAATAAAATAAACAGGTAAGCTAACAAGACAGAACACATCAAAGATCATGTCTTGTTATACAAGTGGTAACAGATCAAGACTCATCACTGGATCTACAGATCTGGTTCCAAAAAAAACATTGAATTACACAATTGTCCTAGCTAATCAGACAATAACAATCGATAAAACCTAAGATCTATCAGATTTAGTGAATAAAAACCCCAAAAAAAAACAGATCTAGATCCAAAAAACTTACGAAGCAATCATCATCAATGGTGAAGATATACTTCTTCTTAGACACCATGTAACCAAAGCAACGACAAGCAGAGTCCTTGAACGAGATGCAAGAAGCTTTAGGCCCAAGGATTCTGTTAATATCGTTCCTGTTGTAAAGCTCGTAGTCATAACCCTCGGGGACATGGATCTTCTTCGTGGGATCTCCGTCTTGGACGATGATGAGATGGTAAGGCTGGAGGAAAGGTCTCCACATCTCGAGGAAATCGAGGTTACGGATGGTGGGGATGACGATGTCGAGCTCATCTTTCAGTAGCGGTGTTGGGTTCACCGGGATTCCAACGGTGTTCGCCGGGTCAACCATGGTGTGTGAGATGAGAGATTGGATCGGGTCGGTGGAGTTTTTGGTGGTGTGATGAGAATGAAACCTAAGTCTCTGTTTATAAAGACTTTTTTTTGTTCGCGTTTTCAGATGTGCGATCCAAAAACTGTTGGGCTGTAAAGTGAATTTTGTGTTCTGTCTTTTTTTTTTTTTATCTTCCGTATAATTAGGTTTTGTAATAATCTTTATGATTAGTTAAGATATAATTGATTTTTAGATAAATTTGAATCTTACTACTATTTGAGATTTGAGATGATTCCAAATATTTGAAATTTAAATTGTGCCAAGTTTTTTCTGAAAAAAAAGCGAATCAATGCCTAGTTGATAAAATAAAAAGAGACCAATCATCAGATTTCGAAGGTGAATAGTAACATGTGTGTTTATCCATTCCAATCCTTAATAGTGTTAAATCATATTTTTAAGTTTTAAAATAAAATTAATTATATTATAATTTGACTCATACGAATTAAAACTCATTTTACTGTAAAGTTGGATTATACTAATTGCTAAACTTTTTTTGGTACGCATACTATTTGCTAATTTGTATGTATTTACAGGGTTTTTTGGTTGTTATATTTACAGGTTTGTATTATTCAAATTAAAAAGTGGATCTAAGAAACTGGGCAATAAATAAATTTTGGTTGACCCGGATGTACTATTAATTAGGTTGCAGAATAAGGTTTCATTCTTTTACGGTTTTACACTTTTACTTTTAAGAATAACTGAAAACGTATATAATTAAAATGATTGTAGTATGTATAAACTGACAACTTAATAAATTATCGGTTACTTTGCTATAGAACGACGGAATTGTAGGTTGAATAAGGTTTCATTCTTTTACGGTTTTACACTTTTACTTCAAAGAATAACTTGAAAAAAAAATATAATTAAAATGAAATAGTAGTATGCATAAACTGACAACTTAATAAATTCTCTGTTACTTTTCTATAGAACGAAGGAACTGTGCATGTGAATGTGGGGAGGTATATGTTAGTGTCTTAAATTCTTCAGCGTTTAGCTTTCTTTTGAATTAAAGTTCATATATATGCATAATGTACATGCTAACAAATAAAACATATTTAAGGACATAAATCATAACTGTCGTCAAAATAGGTTATAGTCATGATTCTTTATTGATTCGCTTTAGATTCGAATCATTTGATAGACATTTAAAATTAAACAAAACGAAATTGATTAAAAGAGCTTGAAGCGTAATCCTTACGACGTGGACCGTAATCCGTACGTCGTGGAACGCTCGTCGCTGCACGTCGTCTATGATTATTGCAACAATCATGTAACAATCATATAGTTCATGCACGTAGGTGATGCACCATCACTGATGAAGACTTCATAATTATTTATATCTGAACATAGCCACATAGACTTATGGACATGGTTACTACTGTCTTTTTAAATATTACGCTAATTGATAAGTCAGGACGATGCAAAACAAGATTGGCTATGGTAAGAACCGGGTCTACACATTGGGCTGCTACTACAGTGACTAATCTCGGCCCAATTAAAACGTTAATCAAAGCTGAAAACTTGAGTCGCATTGTTAAGATTTGGTGTTGAACTGCTAAATCTGTAATTGAAATTTGTGATGGCTATCTTCACACGCCAATAGTCCTTTAACGTGGGCACATGTGATGTGTGCATTGTAACAAAGGAGCATTGTCTTTTCTTAGTGTGTTGAGACCTTTCTTGGTTAGAATCTTAGAATCAGCCCTTCAAAAAAAATTATTGATAATGTATTTTCAATTTAGGATATAAGAAAGAGTATGGATTTAAGTGATTTGTGTTATCTTTTTTTCTTACTTGACGCAGCTTCTTTTGTTCTCGCAACCACATGCACAAGAAGGGAAAGGAGTTATGATGTCGTTGTATAGAAAGAAGAGAATGAGACGCAACAACTTGGATGTTTTCTTGCTAAAAACTTTGAGCAGGTACATTTAACATTCCATGTCACTGCAGAAGCATAGGTTTAGAGACCAATGATGAAAGCTTGTGTTTTTCTCCTTTTGTCAGTAGTGAGAAAAACAGTAGATGGCACAATTTTGGCAGGACCGCAAGTGTAACCAGGCCTAGGACCAAGCAATTTGAAGTTCTTAGGAAGCTTGACAGTTTTGTTTGTGGTTCCAGCTAAACCAACACTAACCTGAAACTGTGAACCCCAAGCTCCAACTACACCACCTTTGCAACAGTTTGAGAACTGTTGGTTGTATGGGACTCCTGGCAAGAGATCAACGACTGTTGGGGTTTTCTTACAGCAATGAGGTACATTTCCTTTGAACTTGGAACAGTGTCCTTGTTCTGTTGTTTGAGCACTAACCATTGACCAAATCACTTCTTTCTTGGCCCATGCCCAGCCTAATGACCAAGCCGGGTTTTGTTCATAGTGACCGTTGCCTGCAAATGCACATAAGGTATAGATATGATGAGACATGAGTCATCTTCTGACACAAACATGTCTCCCAACTTACTTTACTTTCTGCCTAAGCAATTATATCCTGAAAACAAAATCCCCTTTTTGAAAATTGTGCTTTTTTGGTGAATATATTCTTTGACGTCTTCAGGAAATCTTCAGAGAGAACTGATGATATCATTAGGAGAAGTTATTTAATATGATGGATGAAGAAGTGTTCTTGTTTATAATTCTCTTTGATTCACGTTTTCTTTTGTACATGGAAACAAATAACGCGGAAGCAACGAATTAAAATGGTTTCATTTAGTTCTTTAATGGATATAGAGTATGCAAGACAAACATGATGAGATGAATCGTCAGGGAAAAAAACACCAAATCGTTTGACTTGGAACATCTAAGAATACTGAAGCAGTCCGATACATTGACCAAAGCTCTTGAATAATTTAATGAGATGGTGACTGATGGGCTGATTGGTAAGTTCAGAAACCATGCATTGAATACAACACATTCAGAATCAATTTTAAGAGATCATCAACCAACGAATGTTTTTGCTAGGAACTTAAAAACGCATTTTCTAAATGTCTAGATCGAGAAAACTTCTAGCTTTGAACCATATATTCACAAATCCTTTTTTTTTGTTAGGAACACATGCCAAATCCAAAACAATTCTCTCAAGAACACACAATCGATCACCAGTTTCAAAGATAGGAAAATAAAGTTACAAATTTTTACACTTGTTTTTTCAACAATTTATGGAAAGTCAAAATCATTTGCCAGAACCAGATCCAAACAAGTAACCAAGAGAAGATCCTCCACCTGGTGCTGCATGCACCTTCGTCGATGGTCGATCCTGTTTCTCCAAAAAAAAAAAACACATCTTGTTATTTGAGTTTTAAGTTTTTCGAATTCTGTTTCTTATTAAACTCAAAAGATGTTTTATATTATTATTATTACCGTGAGGAAGTTACCACAGTTTTGTCCCTCTGTTCTCAAGTAATTATTAGGGCTTCCCCTTACACCTGCTGACATCTCCTTCTTCTCCTCCTCCTCCGTCTTGTTTTTATCTCCGGTTGTAGTAGCATTTGTTGTTGTAGTGGTTGTAGTAAAGCTGGTGTTGGCGGTGGGCTTGTTCGGCTTAGAAACTGACTCGCCAGATCCAAATAGGTAACCGAGAGAGCTCTCTCCTCCACCGCTGTTAACTCCTCTAGCTTTCCCCATTTTCCGGCAGAAACTTGAAAATCTAACAATGTGTAGCATTAGACATTTAGATCTATAACGAAGCTGAATCATTAAAGAATACACATAAGAGAGAGTAGGTTCGTTTTACCTGTTTCTGGTTTTGTTTTCTCTTCTTCTTTAACGGTTGGCCGCAAGTGCAGGCAGAAAAAACAGAGGAACAAGGAGATACACACAATGTGTATTTATACACATATAAGACAATGTGTGGTGAGTAAATTACGCACAAAGTTATGGTAGTCACGTGTGGGGTGGGTTATGTCGTTGGTGCATCACTTATAAAAAAGTTTACTGGTATTTTTCTGTTGTTTTTTGGTGTAAAGCCGTTTGTAAGTTGTACTAATTTGTAACCATTTATGTTTTTATTTTCTTATAAATGTGTTTTTGTGGTTTAATATTGATTCATATGATCAAGAGGTGGAATCTACAGAATAACAATGACAGCCCATACTTTTATTTTATATATATAGGTATTTCTATACACAATTCAGATGCAGGCCATTATGCAAGATGTATTTGTTTTTGTTACTTAATAAGATGTATATTTTCTCATTTAGTTTATCCCTAACATTTATGTACCCATCACATGATTTGCATATATCCTTATGGAAGTTTACAGCTAAGAAGCAGAATGTACAATCAATTAGTATGTTATCTAAGTTGACAAACAAACAGCTAAATAGATATATATTCAGACTATTTTTTTCAAGAAACATAAAAATAAGTTCCTCTAGTCTTGGCTACTCATAATAATATTAGGTCATTCACCAACGATGCGTAGTGTGGGCCGGCCTAATTCTAAAATGAAATTAAAACTAGCATATTATACACCATAAAAATAATAATATAGTTTAACCTAAAAATAATAATTTGTGATAAGAGATATTTTAATGATACACTTAAAAGTTAAAACTAAGAGCATCCACATTAATGATTTTTTTCATGTTTGTTCTCACCCCATATCACTAAAAATTCAAAAAATCAGAACGAGAGTGCAGAAAAAAAAGGAGAAGAGTCTCTTAAAATATTTTGATAAACCCTTTTATAGATGTCTTTTTCTCATTAGTATAAGTATGCTTAAACATTCAAAATTTAGTTAGTCTTCAAATATTTATATAATAATGTTGAAAGACTCATTTTGTGAAACTCTCCACTAATGATGCTCATCTTGTTTGTACTCTCCCTACATTTTTTTCGCGCATAATGAGTATCTTAAAGAAAATTCACAAGTGACATACAAGCAACATTCTCATAGAAGTCAATGTCAAACGCATATAATAGAAGCAAATGTCAAAAGCATAAAGAATATCTTAAAAAATCCACAAAACAAACACCCTTCCCAAAGTAGGGATCATAGACCCGACCCTTTCTCTCATTGAGTTCAGAATAGCTATCATAAACCGTTATAACAACAGAAACTTGCCCTTCCTCTTTGATAAGAGTCTTCAGAGAGGAGTGGAAGGCAGCATAACCTTTAGATGTAGTTCCAAACCAGAAAATAACATCATAGAGTCTATATATGAATGAATACTGACAGAGGTCTATGCCTAGAGTATACTTATCATGTGGACTAATGGAGCCTTCAATACGTTCAGGATTAGCAAAAGAGGTCTTTCGCAAAACAAACACCATGCAATCGCTAGAGCTCACATTCTCTTTTTGTGAAACTCTCCCTACTTGTGGCAGCTGATTTGTCATATCGGCTTATATGGAAAAGTGTAACTGCCATTTTCTTTTACTATTTTCCTCTCTTTTATCTTTTATGTATAGTAATGTAAATATCATATAAAACAACTGCAAGTCTAGGAATATATATGATTTTGGTGAAGAAATGTTTACAAAACATGACCTTATTAATTTAGCGAGGCCATAATAATATAATTAAACATATACACTCATGCGCTGAAAAGTACGACTCTGGCTCTGTAGCTACCGCAGGGCCATCTCCAATAAATTTTAGATTTTGTTCAAAAAAAAATTAATGATATATTTATGACTTAATGAAAATTTGTTAAAAAATTAATAACTATGTTTAATGTTTCTTTAAAGTTATAAGTTTCAATCTAGTAATATATCTATTTTTTTTTAAAATAATATCATAATTTATTTCTATATTTCTTAAAAAAAATAATTTTTTTTCTTATTTTTTTTTTTTATATTTAAGGTCGTGTTCGACCGCTTCACTTACACATGTTATTAGACGGCCCTGAACTATCGCACGCTAGTTCCTCCTCCTCGTATTAGTGACAGCTTATTTCGTTGTCGTTTTGATAAATTTAATGAATGATCAAAAACCTTTTAGCCATAAACGTTCTTACATTCAGTGTGAATTGCAGGTAACTTTGTCCTACAGAAATCGATACCCTCTCCAAAATTTATTGTCATCACTCATAGGATTAAAATACCACATAATTAATCAAGTTTACATGTACAGATCACTCTAATATTGAAGACCATATATGCATCATGCATGCATGTCCCCGAAACGTTAAGATAGTTGTATTCTGAATCTCAGGGCGGTCGAATATGATCTAAATCTAAAAAAAATGCTAATAATTTTTTTAAAATAAATATATAAACATAGTTTAAAATATCAAACTTTTATACACTTTTTAAATTTATAATTTATAATTTAAAGAAACCGAAAATATGTATATATAAAGATATTAACTTTAAATTATTATATTATATCATTATTAAATATATTGTTAATTGTTTTTTGAACAGGACCCTAATATAATTTAAGACGGCACTAACTTTGTTATATATGAGTGAAGTTTTCTCTTCTTTTTGGTAACACAAAAAAATGTATAGAATATATGAGTGAAGTACAAGTCTTCAAGACTTGAAGTAAAAAAATTACACCAGAAATGGATGAGGCGTTGGTGCATCACTTTAAAAAGAATTACCGATTTTTCTGTTGTAAAGCCGTTTATATGCTGTAACCATTTATTGTTTTTATTTTCTTCTAAATGTTTTTTATGGTTTTATATATTTAGAATGATTCATATGATCAAAAGGCTGGAATCTACAGAATAACAATGACAGCACATACGTATATATATATAGTGGTATTTATATACTACCATCTGAATCATAGAAGCAGGCCATCATGCAAGATGTATATTTTCTTATTCTAGTCTATCCCTAACATTTCTGTACCATCACATGATTTGCATATCCTTATGGAAGTTTACATCTAAGAAGCTGAATGTATAAGCAATTATTATGTTATCTAAGTTGACAAACAAACAACTAAATAGATACATTCAGAATATTTTTATCAAGAAACATAAACTAAGTTCTTTGAGATCTTGGCTACTCGAGAAAATATTAGGTCATTTACCAATGATGGTATCTGATTATATATGGGGTTCCATTTACGCAATGGAAATATACAATGTCAAAAGTCCAACAAAATCAAACATGGGTATAAGAAGATTGTCTCTCATCTGCAATATCTTGGCAAGGGGAAAGAGTTCCTCTCTAGCTGGCTTGAAGTCTCTTGACTCTCATCAACAGATCCTGAGACCATTGCTGCGGGTGAACTTAAGAGAGGCTTAGGTGGAACATGCAAAGCCTCTAGACTTCCCTCTAACATTTCAACGACTTTATTCATCGATGGACGATCACATGGATTTGTTTGAATACACCATAAACCCACCAACACCATTTTCTTTACTAACTTATTTTCTTCCTCCGTCATTTCATCTCCAAACATTCTCATGGTTTCTTCCCTCTCAAGATCTTTATAAATTCAATCTGGAAAATACATTGAACTATTGTTGGATCCAGAGTGTTCATGCATTTCTCTATTCTTTGCTCCAACAATCTCAAGAACCACCATTCCATAACTATACACATCCGACTTATGAGAAACTCCTCCCAAGCTTTTTGAAAACACTTCGGGAGCAATGTACCCTATCGTCCCTCTTGCGTTGAGCATCGAGATGATACTCTCTTTCTTTTTGCACAGCTTAGCAAGGCCAAAATCTGCAATCTTCGGACAAAGATCTTGGTCCATTAGTATGTTTTGTGGCTTTATATCGAAATGCACAATCCTTGACACACAACGGTTGTGCAAGTACTCTAGCCCTCGAGCTACACCTTCTGCTATGTTATATAATGTTTCCCACTCCATCTTGGTTGACATGCTCTCTGATATATATTTGTCGAGTGACCCATTTGGCATAAACTCATAGATTATAGCTCTTTTGCTTCCTTCATAGCAGAATCCAAGTAGAGAAACGATATTAACATGAGAGGTTCTACTCATGCTTGCTACTTCGTTGATGAATTCTTCTCCATTGCCCTTTGAATCCTTCAAGATCTTTACTGCAACATCAGTACCGCTTCCATATGGTAGTTTTCCTTTGTAGACTGTTCCAAATCCTCCTTTTCCGAGAACATGGGAGAATGAGTTTGTCATCTTCTTGACTTTGGCATAACTATATTGTTTCAACATTACGATTGTTTCAATGTTTTCCCCGGTCCAATCACTCTTTTTCCTAGCATTCTTTGCTCTCATTACTACTGTACTCGCAGCAACAACAACGATCATCACAAGTAAAGCTGTTGACATTCCTGTAAAAAACACAAGACTAAAAACTTATGTTTTCATGTACACGATTAAGAGAAAAAAAGTATGTACTGTAACATGATGGTTAGAGCGAGGGAAGGGGTGTTACCGAGAATGACTTTTAACTTCAATGGAGACTTCTTATCATCTTCAATGTATCAAAACAAAATTTATGGTTAACAAAGCCAAACAAACACGTTAATCTTTGTATGACGAAGAAAACAGTTTACTTACGTTTTGCTCCTGTTGTAGTTTTATTGGTGAATCCAAGTGTTCCAATTTTTGTTTCACTTTTTACGCGTCTTCAAGCGAGTAACATAAATATGTACATGTATCAGTTTACCATCAAAATTACTTGCGTGTCGAAATGCATTATCGATTGGGTGAATTAATACAAACAGTCTCCTAAATTGATTCATATATCAGGAACCAAACCATTATCACAAGTTATTGTGGAGAAATGTTATGGGGGTGGAATCAAATAATTCTGATTATGTTAATAGGTTTTTTTTTTTTTTGAACACATTATGTTATGTTAATAGGTTATACAAATGTTTATGGTTTAAACAGTGGTTCAAGTCTTTATATATTACTCAACTGTATCCTGGTGGATCCAAAACCTTTTTTAACTGGAGACACATATTATATGTTTATTTAAAATTTTAATATATATAACAAAAGTCAGCTATAAACTTGTTAGTTCTTGTATTTCACAAAGTATACTGTGATTGCTTTTTAAAGAACTGTTTTAGATTTCTCAACTATTTTTTGTTCATGTGACATTTATTTTTTTTAATAATTTAGTCATTTTAATATTGAAACATATATTTCAAAAAAAAAAAAATAACACTTTACAGAAAATTAGCTTAGTGCTATTTTATCACAAGTTTATGATATTTGTGAAAATAGTTATTCATTAATAGTAAATTTGAAAAGTGAAACCAAACTTGTGGTAGAATTTAAAATTCCCCTTATATAAACTTAATATATGAAATTTATACCCTGCAGCATGAATGAGATAGGTTATTAACATAAATAAAAAGAAAATACTTAGTCTTTTTAAAGGAAAACAATTTGCTGAAAAACAAAACTAATCTACAAATACTGCCAAGAGTCCAAGACGTCTCTTTGAATTATTTGAACATATATGGGACCAGCAAGAGAATAAAAAATAAAAGATCAAATCAAAGGGGCTTGTTTGTGTAAAAAAATGAAAATTAGGTTTGTAGAGAGGATAGTAAGAGATGGGAATTTATGTTTTTTGTGGTTATATGATCTAATTTCCCTTAGATTAAAAGAAAAACAGAAAGGAAGCACGGTATGATTGAGCGATTATGTACTACCTAAAACTGAAACATATATGTATTTAAACGGTAGTTAACAAAGTGGATCCGCCCGTGACTGTGTGTATCTACATTTTGAGAATAACAAAACATATCATCATCTTCGTGTTCTAACTTTTTGATAATGAAAAGACCCCCCCCCCCCCCAAAACTGACTGATAATCTGACGCCTAATATGATACAGTATAAATCTATATTGGAAAACATGTGCTAATAATTGAGAACAAGAAAATAGATATAACTAGTGAGAAACCTATGCCAATGCCTTTGACATTTGTTACATGACTATTGATTGGTGATATGGTTTTAAGATAGGAGGAGTACATTTGACATATAAAATACAAATTGGCCTACAACTATTATAGCTTTTTGTCAAGATTGGAGGCTTGAAGCCGTGTGGTGTTCGACGGGATCGACCCTACCACAAGATATGGAGGTTATGGATTGAGAATAAAAAATGGAATGGAACTTGGGTGGACACGGATAAGGATTGAATATCCAAAATTTTAGAGATATCCGTGATTCGATTCGTTTTGTTCAAATAGTTGATTATTTGATTCGATTTGATATGTAACTAATAGATAGTCGTTGTTTTAGATATTCAGAAAATTTTAGATTTTTATTCAATATCCAATTTGATTCATATAGAGACAATATTTTTTAAAATAAATAAAAAATACAAAATTATATAAATAATAATGTTTTATTATTAAAATAAAAGATATATTACTTTTTCAGATTCTAGTAACTAATATTAAAATTTAAAATAAATATTGTAAAACTTAGATTAATATTATATTTCTATGACTTACATATATAATTGGTTAAATATATGTGTATATATTTGTTCTTAAAAAAATTAGTATTTATGATATGTTTTGTTTCTTACATAGATTGCATTTTATTATTTACTAGTATCTACGCCCGTGCTAATGCACGGATCAATTTCACTTCCAAATATATGATCATAAAATTGTAATGACTACCAAAATATTTTAAATAAAATAATATTCTAGACCCATGTTTTCTAAATTTAAAATAAATTGGCACATAAATTTAAACTAAGAAGTGAATGCATTCAAATAAAGCAGTTGGAAACACTAAACCCTTTTTTTAAACACGTTTTTGAGAAATCTATATAATATCAAAACCCGTTTGAAAGCTTGTTTTATAAAAACTTAAGATCTTGATAAAAAAAAAATTCAGATATATATCAATATTAAAATATGGTATAAGCTATTAAATTTGATACATTCATTTTCTATTTGTAAATGCTTTTAAAATAGAAATCTAGTAATAAACATAAAGCAGTAAAAACCTGATCAAACCAAAATAAAAGAAATTATAAAAAGTCAGAACTGAACTGAAAATATTTTACTATCTGAACACAACAAATAGACTTTTTAAAGGTTAAAAACAACAAAAAGATAAAAACCCAGAATCAGTGAAGGCTAAACTAATGAACATTAACATACTCAGTCCTATGCTAGTAACGTAGCATTACAGAAAATTTCATTGATATATATATATATATATTTATATATAAATACTAAAAATATAAATTGGAATTTGCTCTCAATAGAGCTTCACATTCTCTTTTTCTAATTCCTTGAATTTTTTTTTATCCGTTTATAATTTAGAGAAGTTTAACTTCTATTTCCTTGATATATAAAAATTTAAGAACGTATACAAAACTGAGTTTTATCAATATAAACATATTTTAGATATTATAATCTTAAATATAAGTGTGTTTACCTGTTTTCAAGAAAAGTTGAGGATAAATTTCATGTTAAAAATACCATCAGGATTCTGATATCAAACAAAACTCTGATTTTCACCATATAGATAGAATCATAATCATAGAAAACTGTTTACATGCAAAAGAAGAAAAAAAGAGAGTAGAAGAAGATCAAAGAAAGAGAACGTTATCAGATATAGAAAAAAAAATTGTTGTTCAGATGTTATATAGAGAAAAACAGTTCAAGATGGAAGTTAATGAATTAGTCATGGCCAGGATCGTAGTAGTTTGAGAAAAAACAGGAATTTGAATTTTTACAGTTATAAAAATATTTGTAATAGAAAATTGTGGTTTTATTGTCGACAGAAATGGAAGAATAATTTTTTTTTTTTGTTAAAAATGACAAATGTCAAAATTTAATTGCTTGAGTGACTTGTGCTTTAGTATATAAGGGATTTAATAGTAGAGTTAAGAATATCCAGATTTTTTACGCTAATCGAAACAAATAACAAAACTATTTTCCCAGCACTAACCTCGTGGGGATTGGAGTGAAGGAAGGGCAAAACGTGACGAGGTAATCCGTGGAGCCTGTGCATGCCATGTAGTTGTCGTCACTAAAGTCGAGAGTAGCTTGTGGACATGGGACCTTGAACCCTTCCGAGTAAGAAGACGGCATGCAATCTGGTGCCTCGCACGGGTTAGTGCATGCGATTGGCCGTTCCTCAGCATCTACGACCATAAGGTCATACGGACAAGCCTGGTTCAGGTTAACGACATCACAACCCACACTGGAGCATATTTTGTCTATACCAAGGAACATTCTCTGTGGGACCACCAGCAATGGAAGGTTGTAACCGTAGACGACATTGACGCGGTACAAGTCAACACTGTCGTTGTTTAATTGAAACTCCGCTAGAGTCGTATTCACTGGGGCTTGGTCCCACTCGGCGCACTCGATTTCACCGGAGCCACAGTCTCCCGTAGCGCATGAGAATTTGCCTGTTGTTGAGTTTCTCGAGCAGAGCGTTCGACCCCATATCGCACCTGACCAAAACGAGTTCACGATAACACGCGACTCTCCTTTCTCGAGAGCAAATCCGTTGGTGTTGTTGGAGAAGCGGTCCCGAGCGCTGGATACAGGCCACACGGTGTAATCGCATTTGTTCTCTATGGTTATGTTCTTCGACGTCACTCCTACCAACACAAAAGGAGTAAAGAAAAAAAAAATACAAATTAAGAAAAAAACATAAAGAAACCAGACAGAAGAAAATCTTACCGGAGACGAACAAACTGGAAGCAATAATGAAAATTAGTAGCAATATCTTATTCATTTTTCCTCAAGTGATTAGAAAAAAAAAAAGAAGAAAGGAGAAGAGGAATTAAAAATAATAATTTAGCATCTGATTAGAAAACGCTTTATATTTCCATGGCCAGAGAGCAATGAAGAATCAATACTATTACTTCTTTTGTTTGAGGACTATAATTGAAAGGAAATTTTTCTCTGAAGAAAACAATTGTATACAGTACGTCTATTTATTGGAATGGGCTTAGGGTTCTAGAGAACGTGAAAGGGAACTCCATTTTACAAGAATACAAAAGCAAGCCCAACTGACTTTTGAGCTTCTTTAGTTTTATTGGCCTGCTATTCTCTACAATTCTAATGGTTTTAACTTTTTCGTTTTCTATACCTCATGGGAAGTAGAAAACACGCAAATATATCAAGTTTTTAGTGCAAACTTTCCGGAATTACTCCTCTTTTTTGTCAACGTTTCCTAAATTTCATCCTCTTTATTCTTCTTTTAGTTTCTGATAAATAAACCCAAAAAGAGGAATAAAAAAACTTCCCAAAACTCTGACAATGAGGTAACCCCCAAGACTTGAAAGAGTTGCGAGAGCCCATGACTTCAAGGACCATCATCATGGTCTTGAACATGTCCTTCATCATCATCCTACGGACGAGATTTTCTCGTTGACTTAGATTTTTATAAGTGACGTTGAAGGATGGCAATGGACATGTGAAGTACTGAAGGAACCCCTCACTTTTTACATCTGAATTTCCCTGCTAACATTTATGAAGGATACTTTTTATTAATGTTTATAAGATAATACATTTTTATTTTTATTTCTATGGATAAAATAAATCAAAGACGACAACAGTTTTTTAAGGAATAACTTAGAATTTTGAGTCAGTGGAAGATAAGATAGATGATGATAAATAAAAAGAAAATAACATGCTATATTTTATTTTTATTTTACCATTTAAACTAAACTACCGATTCGAAAATATATAAATATATGTATATCTTGATTATATTTAAAAATTTAAATGTGTAAAATTATATAATTATTATTCTAGCATGTGATTTTGAACAATTATATTCACATTATTACTTATATAAAAGTATTACATAAAAAAAATATGACAATTCTCTATTTTTAATTTTTGTGTTATTATAATTGTAACTTAAACTTAAAAAATTATAAAATATGTAAATTCACTAGTTCTTTTAATTTTATTTTATATACTGCTTCCGTTCCTTAAAGATAAATATTCTAGAAAAAAATATTTGATTCTAAAAGATTCATTTTTTACATTTTAAAAATTAAATTTGTATCAAAATTATAAGATTATTTGTATTAATCAAAATGGATGAGATATCCGAAAATATTTATTTATTTTTTGGATATCTGTTTTTCCGGATATCCGTATTTTTCGAAGCAAAACAAATATCAAAATTAGATATCTGTAATATTCAAAGCAAATCATAAATACCTTGAAAAATCCGGATATCCGATTCGTGTCCATCCCTATCCGTTACTCCCTCTGTTTCGAATTATTTGTCATTCTAGAGAGAAAAATTCGTTTCAAAATCAGTGTCGTTTTAAAGTTTCGAGACAAAATTTATTAGGTTTATATAATATTCTATTTTTCTATTGGTTGAAAAGTGGTTAGGTGTATAGGTAATAGTGTTTTTATCTTGAAAATATGTAAAATTAAATGTTTTCTTAATTTGTGTAAAAAACTTAGAATGACAACTAAAAGTAAAATGGAGGGAATATTAGTTAGATAGTATAAGTTTTAGAGTGAAGAAGATAAGTAATAAGAGAAAGAGTTTCATCATTTTGGTTGAAAGGGCATATGGTGGTTCCATGCTCTCAGTCTCAGTTCTTCAGTGTCTTTTTTTCTGTTATAATGTTTCAGTTTCGTTCACATGTTTTGCAATAAATATTTTTCGGAATGAATTATTATTGAAATCCAAAGAAGATGAATTAAAGAAGTTCCAAAGGTACATCAACTTGTGCGACGCTTTTTATTTTGCTTGTGGATGCAGATAAAAAGGGAAAGCCATATGATTGGAACAACTTGACAAATATATTCATTTTTTTTGAAACAAAATCGAGGTGTATATAAAAATATAATCTAAGCTTTATATGTGGTCAATGTATGTTGTATAGTAGTCATTGTTATTATAGAGACTAATTAAACCACACATGAAGGTGAATGTCTTAATGGTCTAACATGTCCACAGAACGATGTCTAGATAGACACAATTATTATTTTTAACCCTAACCGTAGTTGGTGTATAGAGTTAAGAATATTTTTAACCATACATACAATAAAAGTTCACCTTATGGAACAACAACTTTGTAAGAAAAGTAGCTGGTAGTTCTTTTCCGTTGGTGCAAACTAGCTTGTCATTCTTATGTTAACTTTACACAAGACGAATAACAGATGCATGTAATAGATTTATCTGATAAAATATTCGTGATGGGGGACTAAAACCCATACGGCATACATGTTAAGCAGATAAAATCCCAGCAAACAAAATCAAATCACAAAAGTGAAAAAGATTCCTATAATCATTCTAGAATCCTCATAGTCTCACAAACCGAAAAATGTAAATATACACATAACAAATCGTTGGTTTAGTTTAAATATCTAACATAATCTTAGTAGTTAACGAGCAATATTTCATGATTTGATTTAGTGCTTTCCAATGAGGCATACTTCGTAAAAAGAGTTTGGTAGTGGTGGGTGTACGTAGATTAGGATTATATGCTTAGGGAATATCAAAGTGATTATGTTTTTTTAATTAACCACTAGATCCCCTTACCAAAAAGAACTCAGTGCTGGCTCGTATATTAACCAACTTCTTTTATATTCTAAAATTTTGAGTATATACGAAGGAATCACCATGTTGCCATGTGCATGCATATGATGAGAATTACTCTCTATACATCAAAAACTAAACTACTTGCCAAAACTGAATGCTATGATTTGTAATTCTTTTTCTCGATTTTTCTTATTTTCCTTTTTAATCCATGCACCATAATAATACTAATAATGTACCTAATAGTAATGGCTTGTTTCAACTTCCAACCAATGCTCATTGATGATATCTTTTGGCAAACATTTTTGTTGGACCATATACTTAGGAGTTTATATTTCTCTTACAGTACTAAAACGGAAAGGTGGATCTTGATAGTTATAAGTCTTCGTCACTCACATATTGGTCCAGATCACATATCGACATTGAGAAACGTTTCTAATAAACCGATTGGCTAATTATTTATATTTACACTGATCGTATATATACATATATACATATGCAGTTCAGATGTATAAAAATTAACTTCATGCATAATATAGCTATTTTATTTTGTAGATTATAATTAGATGATGTGAAGCTGAACCATGTTTGAGATTTATTAGAAAATCAAGTTAATAAGATCAATATCTATATACTAATAAAAGATTAATTAGTTGGATGTTAAAAATTTGGATTGCCATGCAGTTATTATATAAAAAATGGAATTCAATTTCCACGTTAGAATAACCTCATTTATGGATGTTATATAGTATTATATATTGACAAAAATATATATAAATTGTTAGGTACGAATACGTAATTCAGTTTCAACTTTAGAATAGCTTCATTTGGTATCTGACACGCTTTGGTAACTTTCATGTCATGTATTTTTTTTTTGTCAACTCATGGCATGTATTTCATTTACCATATATGGCTCCAAGTTACAACTATTGTATATTTTTAATTTGTTATATACCATGTCCAGTTCTATAACTTTAAAAATAATCTGGGACCAGCCCATGCAAATTTATATATAAACAGTTAAGCTAGAATAAGGTGGAGAAAATGAAGGAATTACTATGTTTTTTTTTGGAATTACTATGTTACGTCCATGACTAAATGTTTTTTATCTTCCTTTGTGATACTTGCAAACAATAGCCTTTCGTTTTTCTCGGAAGATAAATCATAATAATCGGTGTTGTATATCACATAGTTCATCTATTGTAAGTTGACCTAATTAATTAATATGTGAGCGAAATATCACTTATAACTGAACCACTAAGTAATGCCTAAAAAGTTAGGGATAGATATTTAATAAGTGGTCTCACGAATCGCATTTCTATGACATAATTTATGACTTTGTCTGCCTATTTGCATACACATATTATATGACGAAATTAATCATATTCTCCGTAGTGTAGCTATAATTAATCGTATCCTTTATTTTTAGTAAGTACACCTTATCTCGTTCATTAACGTAGCTGAAGTTTGGTTTTATTTGAGATTAATAACTACCAGTAAGTACACCTTGCTTTATTTTCATGTGGTTTTATTTCTCTTCAACTGTCTAATGCATTTGTCAATTACTAGCTACCTTTTGTTTTCAATCCGTAAGTTTATCCTATCTAGACAATTTTTTTGGTCTGTGTTAAAAACACAAAATAAAAACTTAAGCACGCATCGAACATTCAAACATTCATATGGTGATTGTGCTGCCTAACCGTTGTTATATCTTGACTTAATGAAATTAGTTGATTCTTTTATGAATGGATATACTATACAAATTTTACATGATGTCATAGTCATATACATGGCCTGATTGAAGTGTGGTACATGTACCGATTTGGGGTTAATGGTCAAATGCAAAAAGTCAACTTCGAAAAAGCACATTACCAAAACAAGGTCCGTATCCTTTGTCACACATTCTCAAGTTTTTCTAAGACACCTCACGCTCTTTGGGAACACAAAAATATCTTTCATAAGTTCAAGTATGTACACCAGCTAATAGACCACTAATAAAGATTGTTTAAAATGATAAATAAGTTACCGTTTTATCCATTAATCAATAGATCGATGTATATATCATATAGTGTAGAATGCAATATGAATACCTTTGTAGTGACTTTGATTATAGTATGCATTTGCAGATTATAGACTTTAACATCGTTATATATATATATTACATGGTTTCACAAGTGAGTAAAAGCTTTGTTATATACATAAAACACTGTAACGGAACT